ATGTTGACACTTAAATCAACACCCAACTTGAGTCAGAGTCAATACAAAGTCTACAATACAAGTATATCTTGTGACATTTGTAAGCATGATTCTCATTTTCCCCATTCTGGTTTTTACTTTAAGAGCCTTTTTTGTTAAAGCCAGCATGCGTGCATTTGACACCTTTCAAAATCAGACTGAAGATCGCTTGTATGTTCTAGCTTGCAAATTTTAAATATTAGTAATAGTCAAAGTTTCAGTTTTGCTTATTTGCCATTTGGAAGCAGTGGTGTCTGACAGCTGGAGTTTTTAATGTCCTTTCTACAGCTGAATAAACATGAAGTTGTACTGTTCTTTGGTTGTACAGTGTTGGAAGTGCTCATTGTACTTTCATCTAAAGTGCCCTGTGCATCAGCAGAGTTGAAAAGATTTGTATCACTGTGGAAAAAATGTCACTTACGACCCTTCAGTGCTTGAACACTGTTAAAAGGGGAGAAATAATAGTTGTTAGGTTTGTTTGTAGAACTGTCAACAGCTTCCTTTAAATGCACGTACATGTACATAGGTACCAGTATCCGTGGAAAACACTCGGGCCTTTCACTTTGTGTACATTGTACATGCGTTAGACAGTACGTGAAGTGTGTGTCCCTGGATCTGGGCTTGAATTCAAACTGGTATTGATATGAGCTGTCCTTGGCAACTTTGCACCTTTGCCAAAGTGATATGCAAGCCATTTATTGTGACAAATGGGAAGGTGGGCACACAGACAAGTTCGAAGGAATACTGTACCTTCACAAATAATTGTCATTAACTGCCCTGCCACAGTCCAAAATGGAAACAAGATTGTGAGCAATGGTACCCCTGTATGTATGATCCTTGTACTCTTGATATAAGCTATCACATTTCATCAAGTTAATGCCTGTAAATTGCGCATCAGTTGATAAGATGCTGTTAATTATTTCAGGGCTTCTGTCCAGCTATATGTGGATTGAGGTCATACCTCAGGATGAGACAAAGCTACGTGTTTGTTTGCATCATTGCACGTAGATAGTAAGTTGATGCATTGGGGCTATCTGAAACCAAACCAAGTCTATTCTGCAAGCCAAGGCACACTATTCGGAACTTAGGACTGTAACAAAGTTGGAAACATTAAGAAATAGGGGCTGGTTTTCACTGTCTCCTGCAAATGCACGAAAAGAATTGCAAGGCTGGGAACAGGATTTTTGGTTAGAAGGTAGAAAAAACCTTGACAACTCATCAAGCCACAGACGTTTTTAAAATAAGTACTCTTCACGTCCAATATGTCTGCTCTCCTCCAAGAAAACATTTCACACTGTCTGCAATGATGCCTGTCAAAATTGTTAATATAAAAAACTTCAGTGGTAGTACCCACACAACTGCAAACCACATTGGTTAGACTCTCATTGTTAAGTGCTTCCCAAAAGGAAAAAAAAAGCAAATAAAATTCAGGACTGCACAAAGGCATAGTAGGGTCCTCTTTTCCCCAAAGTGCTACAGAAATGTACCTCAATAGTTCTACGATCAATGATTACAATTATTTCTACATCCCTGAGCCTGCCATTAAGGCATTTCAATTTGAATCTCTCTGTGTGGGATGGATAAATAGTTTGATAGGCATGATAGGAAGCAAATCACGAAGTTGCATTCATTTTCATTTTCAAAAACCCCACTTTTCCTTGCTCATTTTAGGTTTGGCTTTAGATTTTACTTTGTCACGTATATACATGTATCTGCTCGCAAAAAAGGGCCATGTAAGAGAAGAAAGATCTTAGTATTTCTTCTGAGCTTACTTGCAAAGAGATGATTTCCCATGTCTTATTCAGAGCAACTACACACACACCCACACATTTCTGGTGCTTTTTAATAAGTAATTGGAACATGAGAAGTAACCTCACTAATGTATTAGTCAGTGTTTGGTGGACTCAATCTGAAAATATATCACAACCAAGAATTTAAAAATATTTCCATCCATTTTATTCTCACGAAGAAGACTGGATGTGAAACATGCACAGCTGCTCCTTAACTGTACCAATAGCTCAACAGTTGGTTTGACAGTATTTTCTAAGGTTTGATGAGTCTCGGTCCACTGCATTCTGAAGTAAGTTAATAACCTGTGTGTGTGTGTGTGTACTTAATGGGACTGCCTATACATGCAAGTTGAATATACCCTGATAGTGCCAGTCATAAAAATGGAATGGTCTCCAGACTGTCTGGATTGCTAAACTGCCCTTAACTTTGTCCATGCAAATCTTAAGTACATATAAAGCTCAGTTTACAAAGTGTAATCTGCCAAAATAGAAAGTGTTGTCATGGGGTGGTTTTAGCATGAATCCTATTAGGATTGGTAATGGCATGTACATGTATATGAAACCTAACAGTAACTCTATTGACACATTTTCTCCCAAGTAAAGTAAGGTTCCCGCAGTCCTGCATGTACATTTATGATGAAAAAGGTTTAATCTTTCCACATTGAAAGAAAATTATGCCATTGAGTATTGTTGCACACCCGCAAATCTTGGAATTCTAGCGCCCCCTAGTTTTACTCGTTCTCGGTCCTTGCATTTCTCAGGGTCTCTTATTTAGCTCAGCTATGCATTATGGACATGTAGCAGAGACGCTAATTTTGTATTAAGTTATTCATGCTGTACTCTGGTGTGATCGCGTGTTCCTTCACTCCTTTATCCTTGTGTTTTCTCTGCTCATTTTCGGCATGTCCAAATTCCCCTCCACATGGCTGCGTGGTTGGGCGTGGTAAGGTTCCCTGAAATGCTAATGTTCAGAAACCTCAGACTTTGTAACTGTTAATCATTCGCCACAGATGACCGGGTAAGCACTTTCACGCACCCGGCTCTACATTTTGTACACATGACTTCTTATTCTGTATTTTACCTTTTTACGATGACACTTAGATTCCTGCGCACAACTCTAGCTGGAAGTCATGTGACCCTTTGAGATGGAAGATTTTCATTGGTTGAGCTGTTCAGCAATGCTCATATTTTATTAATTCCTAAGCCTTTGGAATCCTATAAATAGAGCAGATTTTCCCCAGCCCGTCGTTCAGGTGCGGCGAAACAAACCCTTGTTGCGAGAGTGGAACCTAATGTAGTGCGGCGGTTGGACCCTTTCCGAGAGAAGTGCGATAGTAACCATTCTTATGGCAAAGAAATGTAACTATATGAATGGCCAGCTAGCTTAGCTTGGACCGATGCGAGAGCGGTACGAACTAGCCCAAGGTGTTAGCGAGAGTCATAGCAGCCCGTCCCCGCTACGTCCGAACCAATGGCCGGGCAAGACACCCCCGTGTCCCTTGCCACCCTTGTCTTGCTAACTAGCCCCAGTCCTCCCCGTCTCTATGCTGAGCCAATGGTACACAGTGCGGCAACTTTATCATTGCGCCCATCACGTTGCGGTCTGAGCGGCAGTGCGGTCGGTACATACTGGCACTGGCCCTGTCCAGCCCTTGCTAGTCACCGTGGTGGTCCGGGACAGCTCCTACCACAGCCCGGCCCAATGAGTGTACCCTAGCTATGCGATGTTACACACACGTACTGTACCCACTCCGTCCGACTCGCATTTCCAATGGTCCTGCCAAACCGTAGTCTAGTTACACTCGTATACAACTTTGCCTCTCTATAACTTTGCCTTTTGTGTGTTGTATTATGTTAAGCTACACCTTCTTCAATCCCACATTGAACTTTGATGAAGAGAAGTGAGAGCAATAAACCAACCATACAGTTTGACTGTCATCCAACCCCTTGTTTCATGTCCACCTTTCAATAAATTGTTGACCCCAAATATCACATTCCATAGACACTAATAAAATCCATGCTACCATCGACTTGATATTTAGGGAACTTAACAGTATCATAGTGCACTCAATAGTGGCTGGGTTCTCTGGTGCCAACTACATCAAGACAATTATGCAAAACAGGTTAAATTTGCTAGTTTTTGATGGATTACCAGTAAGATATCTATCCATGGTAAACTGCCAACTTCCCAAAGCTTTCAGGCTACATACTAGTATCATCATAAACTTGCCACAATCTAATATCCTGTAAATATGCTGTAAAGTCATGAGAACATTTTTGGGCTTCACAATCAGGGGCAAGGAAGGAGGGGCAGCCCCCAAAAACAAATTGGGAAAAGAAAGGAACAAAAAGAAAGGAACAAAAACAAAGAAAAGATAAGAGTTACTTATTTCCATATAAATATATCTTTAAATTGATCCCCTGTTCATCATTCATGATGGTCAGTCAGCTACTGTGAGTACTTCCTTCCCGCCAAGGGAGCTTGGCGCTCCCATGGGCATAACTCTGGGGACTTCCATGGGTACATTCTTTGTGTTTGAACAAGATTGAGACATCAATAACCATGCAAAGTAGTACAGCTAGACTTCTTAACATGTAAAAGGGGAAAGAAAAGGGAAAATACCTAGTGTTGAATTATTGTGGATTCAGAAGGATTGGGGTTAAACTATTTGCCCAAGTAGACCTAAGAAATGCAAAGGCATATTAGCTGGCTGATATGTTTTGCATACTAATGTAGATCTATGTGGATGTTGCAATCTTCATGTGTTTGTTATGAAAAGGATCGATGAAAATTGATTCATTTGTGTCAGTATTTTTTTTTTTTTTACATATTTCAGCTTTACTCCAGCAAAACTGGGAGACATCTAAATTAAAACCTGCGATAACAGGATTCAAACTTTAACGTGTTAAAGCTTAACAGACATAAAAACTCTTGGTACAGTTCAGGAATTGTGCTGTACTGTACATCACAGTAAATCAGTAGTTGTGTGTAGTCAGCAAAAAAGGAGTTTGGGCACTCTGTGTCAGAATGATAGCTTTTTGGGGAATTGTGTCAAAATGGTTGCAAGACAACTCTCTGCTCACCTACAAGTACAAAGGAAAGGCATGGAAAAAAGGGCATTACGGTGAAACTAGGAAACATGTTTCTCATGTTCTTTTATTTCAAGTCAGTTTTCTTTTGTCTTATAATAGCGATGTGCGAAGCAACTTGTACCTGGAGTGGAGTCCTGCCTCCAAGAAGTTACAAGAACCCTACGTACTCCTGTAAAGTCTTCCTAGGTGGGGTACCGTGGGATATCACCGAAGGTAGGCAGCTACATTATCTAACAAGTAATGCTTGACTGAAGTGGGACATGTCTTCAGGTTAGAAAAGGTCATATTCATTTGCACATCAGTCAACAGTTGTTTTACTGTGTAAAATGATTTCAGTCTTGGCAAACATTTATTGTTTTGTGCACAGATGTTTAGAGAATCATAGCTTTAATATGGCTAATGCAGTTAAAATGTATGTACATGTATGACAGTGTGATTGCTGATTAAATAAAAGAAGCTTGTTCATGTGTTGCTTCACAAATAGAGGCCAACAGGGTGCGATGCATTCCCCCCTCCCCCAAGCAGATTTTTTCTAAGCAATAAGAAAAATGCAAATTTTCGGAGTCTATCTAGTTTGTATCACTTTGTCATACACATGGAAGTGCCACTGATTGCAGGCTCCAATTGGAGCAACACTAAAGTTTGTCGTGTGCCCAGCAAAAGGGCGTAAGAGCATTTATGCCCTTTTGCCAGGAAGCATGATCACAGCAGAAAAAATATTCCTGGCAAAAGGGCGTAAGAACCACACTGTCTTTACATGGATTTAGTAAAATTTTAATAAAATTTACTACAAAATCAACAACATAGGCTGTACAAAAAGCAACCTTTACTTATTAACCTCAATCTTAAACTTATTAAACGACATGGGAATTTTTTTTTTTTACTTTTTGCATAGAAATCTTTATATTTCATTAAAATAAAACAGTTGGATACATACTTCCTTTTGCTGGAAATTTTTGTTGCAGTGATCATGCCTCCCGGCAAAAGGGTGTAAGTGCTTTAGTCCTTCTTCCAGGCACACGACGAGTTACGTGTTATCTTCTGGTTCCATGTAACTCTATGTGCAGTGGGCATGGTTTAAACTGAAGTGACTTCACACTTACGAACTGAATACCTTTACCTGCCTCCCTAAAGTGTGCAAAATGCACCAGAGTTAAGCCTCATTCCTCAGGAAGGTCATAAAGGTTTTGTGTACATAATAAAATTAGAATTTAATTGAAATTGCCCCTCGGCAATATCTGCCATCCCAAAATTTGGTTCTAAAACGTTACTTCTCTAGACCAATATAAAAATGGAAGCATTTTTATGTAATGTAACTTCATTGTCCCAAAGCACTGGTCAGTGTTTGTAAATAATTTATAAAAGGTCTATAAAAGGCACATACAATTACACCCAATAGAATAAGTATTGACATCTGAGAACTTGTGTGTAGTTTCCTGCATACTTGATCATAAAGTGATTCATAACAATGGTGTTGTAATGTCTACACGTCAAATTCGTAACAGAGAAATTGAGCTTTGGCCAATTATTTTTTGTTCACACAGGATTCAGACCAGATTGGAATCAAGGAACCATGGCAGTGTTTTAAGTGGACACATTTACCAGATGGCATTAAAAAAATACAGACAACAGTTGAGGACAAACAGACCATGCATATACAGAAAGGACTGTATAAAAATCTAATTTCCTCTTCAAATTCACACACACTTGAGTATACTCTTTATGGTGATGCCCACCTACATGTACTCACTTTGAAACGCAGACTTGCAGATGTCGGTAACATAAAAGTTCTTTGCTTTAAAATGGTAATTTTAGTAGATGTAAATAAATGTAGTTTTTAAAAAGGAATTGCTACACTACTTCCTGAAGCCCGATGCAATTTCATGGATGCTGAAGACTGCTTAATGTGTCAGTTTTTGTCTGCATTATACTTACATTAGAAAATGACTTACCTTGTCTTACACAGATTGGTGTGAAATGCACTCACCATTTGGCCCTAACTATACAGATCAATTGTCATGAAATGTGTCAGGGTTAGAAGGACTACTGCCTTTGGGACAGCCCCATAAACACCTACAGACCATAAATTTACGTTATGTTGTATTTCTTCAAACGTGAAGAAATTTGTTGCCAGCTGTACCGGTATTTTGTGCTGCCGATGGGAGTAGCACTCGGACATGCACATTGAACCACGAGGTCCTAATATCAAGCTCCAATTGTGTGCCTTTAAAATTTGGATTGTAATTCTCGGGTGTAGTGGCATTTGAGTCTCGTACATAGATAATCACATCACGGGATGGCCGGAGAGCTTGTATCATGTTACTGCTTTGTACATGTACATGTACATGTTAATGTACTCAGAATCTCGCAGTGACGGTTCTTACATGGGAGTTTTTCATTTTTACAGGCATTGTTTGTCACCAAAGGTGGTGGAGGTTGATAACCTCTTTTTCCATAACTTAAAAATACAATTCAACTCAAGTACATACTACTTTTACATGCATGATGAAGTGCATTTAAGTTTAGATGAATTTTGTGTGGGACATGAATGTCTGTGTTCAAAATGAACTGCCCTGAAGGAGGGTATGTTTATTTTGCATGAATCATGTGTTAATAACCTGTCAATCACCAGCCGTTAGTGATGACATGTCCATACATGTAGTTTAAGTTACGTATACCAGCGTGTGGGTCTGTATTTAGAAACACCTTTCTCCAGATTCATCAGAAGGGCGTTTCGGCAATGTTATACCAGGGGACATTGTTGTCATTGCCGCACGTACACGGGGAGACATTTCTGGCATGGTTTTTGGGAAGGGGATTGCGATATGCCACTCGGCAAGTTTGCAAAGACAAAGCAACAACATTGCTCAGTCACCATCGATGGAAAGGGAAAAAGGGATCTTTCCAAATATAACTGCAGTCGTCTACTCGTCAGACTTGATGGGGTATGATAACACATATTTGATGGGGAGGGGAAGAAGTGGGAATCAAGCAGTCATACATGTTATATGCACTGGTTCGGTTCACAAATTTTTAATTTACATTTGCAAATCAGTCGCAAATCTTGCTGTACTTGCTATGTGCCATTTAATGTCTGTATTTTTGTGGAAAGGATGAGAACATGTGTAAATTTTAATTTTTCTAATTATAGGTTTTTGATACTCGGGTGAGGCTTCCAAATGTACATGTATATGCATATGTATATGCCATTTGCACTAAGAGGAATTGCCGGAGGATATTGAAGGATTGAGGCAGTAGGCACACCTCCAAGTAACATTTCTAAGAAATTCTGGAGGATTGAGAGAGAATCCACATTAATGTTTAAGAGTGGCTCAGGAGATTGGACATTGATCATACCCTAGACTGGCTCGGGCATTAGTCATGTCTTAAATGAACAACCAACCACACACTTATTTATTCCCTCAGTAAAGTTGTTCATTTATTGATTTGTGAGGTGTAACTTGCACCACCTACAATAATTGTGTAAGTTATGCAGACTTAGCAGTGGGAAATGTGTCATAATTGTTTGTGCAACTCAGGCAATACAATTTGGTGTAAATGGAGTGACTAGAAGGTTTTGTGAAGTCAACTGCTGGTTATCCACCTCGACCATAAAAAGATGACTATACTCAAGCCGGAAGCAAATGAATATTTGTGCAGATGTCATGCACATTTCCATGGTAATATTCTTTCATATTTTATTATTTCTATACAGTGGGGCTTCAGAGCTGCTTCAAGCCATTTGGAACAGTGCGTGTAGAATGGCCAGGCAAAGATGGTAAACATCCCAAGTACCCACCCAAAGGTTGGTTTCTCTCGCTTATTTTGTTATAGACTTATCTTGCACTGTTGCATATCTAGAAAATGAGTCAGAAGTAACCAAGCCACTGGTTAAAAATAAAGAGAGACATTGATGACAAAGAAAACACAAGTGTGTGCACTGACGTACACGTACATGCACAAGCGAGCTATATTCCCTCTAAGAACTTGAGAATGAATTTAAAGGATATCCACACAATGCAGGTAGTGATGACATTGTGAGGACTTGTCCAGGTCCACACAACCTTTCTGAACAACAGGTTTAGGGTTGCAGTTATCTATAGCAAAAGGAGGAACAGTCAAAGAAACCAACAAGAATTGAACTTAAACACTCTCTTACCTCCTCAAGGAATTCACAGCTTAAGAAAAACAAGTATTTCCAGTGAGTTTTCTTAACTATGTGAGAACAAAGGAACATCCGCACAAAGTACTGGTATGCAGTGCTACCACGTGTGATCTCTTAGGGAAAACGGAAAGATGGTGTAATACGGGCGTTTTACAGTAGTGCACCTCCAAGCGTTTGCAATGTGTTGACCAATCACAATCCGCAAAATCTGTCAAGCCTTTCCAAACTCACATTGGGTCGACAGATTTCACGCATTGTGATTGGCCAACGTGTTGCAAACTTTTGGAGGCAACTTTTATGAATCGCCAGCATTGAAGCCCTAAATATCTTAAGTCTTAATTCACTAGGAGCTTTGGAGAGCTTGGAGGATATAGGGAAACCTCTTGTACTTACGTTGGACTTGATGACCCTTTAAAATTGACATTACCCCCAAAATATGCAGTTGATTTCCTGTATAGTGAAGGATTTGGAGAACTCAGAAAGTTTCCTCGCTAAAAGTGCAGAGGGAATTTGGGATGATTAGGCCTTAATCTAAATTTCTTCAGCTTACACTGCTCAGAAAGTTTCCTCGTTAAAAGTGCAAAGGGAATTTTGGATGATTAGGCCTTAATCTAAATTTCTTCGGCTTATAGTGCTCAAGATTGTGCAAATCCATTTACAGGTACAGCACCAGGTTCTGTGTATTAGCCAAATTGTGGAGGGGAAAAAGGAAGGGAAAGTGGTTTTGATATTAAACTTTTGGTTTGGTTTACAGAAAATTTGTTGTGAAAATATTTTGCCCCCAAGTACATGCAGCGTACCAGCTCTATTCTATTGAACCTCTTGTCCTTTTTTGTGTATTGAATTCTTCTGGACTGGTGGAACATATTAATTTCTGCATGTAGCTACATGCATGACCACAGATTGACATAAACACCTGCCTCCTTGCTGGGAGAGAACAGACAGATGGGTTGGAAAACTACTGAATAATGGAGCTGAGGAGACTGCATTAATTGAGCACAGTAACTTGACCAGGATTATGTACATTCAGTGTGTGTGTGGAAGGGGGCAAGGCCTGTATATAGTAACCTTAGGGATTGTGATGTCTTTCTCCACGGCATGACATTGAGTACTTGGTCTGGCTAAACATTTCAGGCCATAGATTACTTTTCATGTTATTTAGTATTTAGGGAGAGTTTTGCAGTTATTAGAGTGGAGTGGATTCTGAGCAGTGTAAGGTGGGGGCAGTGATGGGAATGTATGTCTACACTGAAAATGTAAGCTAGGGACTGTAGAGCCTCAGTACATGTGCAGTGTATATCTTTCTGAAATTTTTCTTTGATAGAATTTAAGATTCAGATTTCAACATGTTTATACTAACACTTTTTAAAATTTCAGTGAAAATACTTCAAATTCAGATGACTGAAGTCTGAAATATTTTCACTGGAATTTTAGAAAGTGTTAGTGAACATGTTGAGATCTACTACATTCTGGTGATCTTTCAAGCAGTGTGGAATGTGCGACAGAATTTTAATACCCAGGGCTCTAGCAATTTAAGTCAGGGTTCTAACATATTGGCAATGGTGTACATGGTTGCATTAATAACATTTTCATTGGCTCATTCAGAGTTTGGACTGCAGGCACAGCTTTCATGTAATTTCTGCACTTTCCAGCTGCCTGCATGGCTGTACCAGGAAATAGCTGGGCAAAGAATTCAGAGAAAAGGCCTTGCATAAACAAAATATACAAAAATGGTATTGTCATGTACACTTAGATGGACACATGTATGTACTGTACATGTATTAGTTATTATTATTTGACCATCACAAGAACAAACAAAGCAAAATTGATCAAAAGTATATAAAAAACAAGAACACACATTTAAGTAAATTTAAGCAGTAGCAGGGACCAGGGACGAAAATCTGAATATATAACGACATATAACAGCTATGTGGGTCGGGACTGCAAAAGTAAAAGAAACTATTACCCGTGGGTTTGATGTACATACTGGTACTACGCCCATTTGGAATCATGTGCCCACATCCAGGGAATATTGACTTTAAAGGGTTTGAACTTGTATGAGCTGTAAAAATTTGCAAGTAATGATGCTGGGCCGAAACCCTATTTCTTTTTTTTTTAGTTAGAGCAGTTAAATTTGATTAATGATACACTGGTATGTAGAAAGCCCTTATATTCCTATCGCAATGAAGTTGTCCAATATTTCTACATAAATGTAGTATGAACCTTGACCTCCTAGGGAGAAAAACCCATTCCAGATTAAATTTGCATGGTTCGTATAGGCAACTGCTGTTTTAGCTGCAAAAAGCACATTAGTGCTTGTGTAATAGAAATGAAAACAGACTACTGCACGTTAGGTATTAAATACATTGTAGTATAGCAGATATACTTGCATGAGGTCAAACCATTTTTTTAAAAAGAAACTCATATGCAAAATGCATGCTTAGTGCCTGCCGTCACAGATTTTTATTCTTTTGCATTTATGTAGAATTACCACTCATCAATTTTTATGGCTGGTATTCGTGAAGCAAAATAGCCTTTCAATTTTGTTAATGTGTGCACTTGGGAATGCTGCATTTAAGCAGTCCTTTCTTCTCCAGTGTGTCCCGAAACAAGACGTGATATAGCACAACTGAGCTATCTCCTGATGTTTGACCTAGCTGCATCAAATTGGGTGTGTGTGTAAAAATAAATAGAAAAAAAAAATTGGGAGAGGGCATGCACAACCAAGTCAAGCCTGTTCTGAAATGGGTATCAGGATGCTGCATCATAGCTGAACATGCCGGTCTAATTCTCAGAACATAAATGCAGACCAGATGGTACAGTATGTATATTAGAGGCCAAGTTTCAGTTTTTGTCTCTAGTACATGTATGTAATGTAATGTGCATATATCAAAACAGTACATTTGTCTTGGTGACGTGATGACCTTTTTAGGCACTGGTTTCAAACAATATAAATGTACATGTACTGTGCATTATCAAGTGTATCATTGGAGTTTGCGTTTGAACAACTGATAAGTACATTCAAATAACAGTATCGTTACTGTTAAATTTCTTTCTTGAGCTAGATCATTTCTCTTAACTTGGGTGTTTATGTATTAATTTCAATTCCAACGAAAATGGGGAATTAAAAGCAGAAATGTAATACACAGAGAAAATGTTGCCACCAAACTGTATCATTGGTTACTGCAAGTCCTGGAATCCCTCCCCCCGCCCGCTAGCAATCAGGGAAGATCAGGAGTCACTACTTGTGTATATCAATGGGAAGGGAACAAAACGGGAAAGCAATATTTATGCAAACAGAAAATGTAAAGCATGTCAATTTCCTAGGATTGTTGTTCATGACTTATATTAAAATAGTGTGATCACTTAATCCCTTGAAGCATTTATAGTCGAACAAAGTGATTATGGACAGGTCAACAGCAACAGAAACTCATCCGGTAGCTACTGGATACTTTGAGCTATCAGTGTAAAAATGTGTCGTGTGTGATGTGTAAAAAAATAGCTATCAAATGGTAACTTCTTTTGCTTCACATTCAAAGCTCAGGGTTCCAGAAGGACGTGAAATTTAGTTGGGAGACCTCACAGACACGTTAGTATACACGGTGTCCGCATCAAAAGTATACCGAGATAAAAATTGCTGTAATAGCAAAACTACTTTATCTATGGGAAAGAGAAATATAGCTCTAGAAAGGGCAGAATGCCGTCTTTGCACTGGTATATGGCTTGTGATGTTATTGACACAGATGAGTGAACAAACTAGACCGATGTTAAGGGTACTGAAATCGGCACTGTGAAAAGTTTTCATATGTGATTAACAAGGCTAGACCATACAAGTGTGCAGAATACCAAATGTGGACATCTTGTATACATGTATGTGTGCTCATTGTGCATGTACATGTACACTTTATGTTATGGGGACACTACCGGTATCTCACAGTCCCTAACTGAAATTCTACATGTTCCTTTAATCGTCACTTTTAAGCCCAGCTACCAGTGCGTGTATGTGTAATCACTCTGCGGTGCACTGCACTACATTTTCTGCATTTGAGAGAATGAGCCGAATGACAAATTTACCAGACTTGATGAATGGAGTGCCTTTCATTCCAAAGAAGAGGACAAGACGCAGACTTTCTTGAATGTGCTACAGTTAATTGTATGCAGCAGTGAGATATGAACCACATTGAAGAAGTGAACAACACGTACATGCATTGTCTGCTAAACTGTATCAATAGAACAAGTAATCTCATTCTTTTTTTCTAGTAGATTTAATAATAAGCATTCAAGATTTTAGATTCCTTGAAGAAGACAAATGGCTGTTTATCAAGAGGGATGCACTTTGTACATATTATTTTAATTGGCTATTGCATAAGCACAAGTGCAGCAAAGAATAATGTACATACATGTGTGCTGCGTCTCTGTGCCACATACAGCAAGCCAAAATTGACCAATCAGGATCAGTTTGGTTGAAGGTAAAGACCAATACAGTTACCAGAATTAAAAGCCATTACTTCAGTGGTCAAGGTTTAGCCTTTAGTAGAAAATGACTCCCCCCCAAAAAAATGAAGCAAACAGTTGGGATGTCCTGCAAGCCACAGGTTATATACAGTGTATCAGGTAAATAGTTCCTGCTGGGAGATGTGGCATTTTGGACTATCTTTCTAGGTTATCCTGTTAAATTTCCTGTGTTATTAGTATGTACATGTACATGTACACACGTACGTTGTATGTCTTCCAGGGATGGGGAGAATTTACCGGAACATGACATGGGAAATGGGAAAAAAAAAATTGCACCAGGTGTGCAATATGTTACGGATTGTGAATTTTCATAGAACCTCAGTGTAGATTACTGAATGTGCAATCCCTGAAATGAAAGCTTTGATGATAAAGGTTAAACTTAGTTGTACTCTGCACTGCTACAATGTACATGCAAATTGCGCGCAAATTACACATGGGGATTGCAGTTTCCAATGGAATGAAATTCATGAACTTCCTTTGTGTGTTTTAGCCACATTTCGGAAATTAGATGGTTAAAGCCCCAACTTACCAGTGACATTAGTGACAGTATCTAGTGATGTTTTGAATTCAAACCTTAATCACTGTTTTCAAATACAACATGTAGTAAAGATTTTATCCATAATTGTATAAAACAGCCCATTAACGGTGTATTTGTACGTATTGGTTGATATGCACATGCTGTTGAGCTAATGTAATTGTGTACAGTCAAACCTCAGTAATGAGAGCTCTGTTACAAAATTCTGCTTATAACGAGGAAATATTTACATGTAGGTACTAGTCCTTTTTTTTCATTGTTTTCATTCCTGGTAATACATATTACATGTATAACAAGGTAATCTGCAAAGTCCAAGGGACTTCTTATTGAGGATGGGTTGTGCATACAAATGTACGTGTAGGTTGGGTGATTGTGGCTACCAATACCAGGAATAGAATTTTAAAAACAGCTGTCTCTTTGAGCTGTATGAACTCGCATTATTCAGATGATAAAAACCAAGGCTACAGTTTTGGGAGAACAAACTTTATTTACAGAAATATGAGATGGCAAAGGCTGATTGGATGAGAATGTGAAGCTGAAAAAGTCCAAATGCAGCAGCCTGGTTGGCTGGCATGCCATCAACAGACTCTCCTGGGGGAATTTTCCTGAGTAATCCTCTAGAAGCATAGATCCTTATAATCCTGTCATATCAGTGCTGATCATAGATGAGCCTGAATAAAAAAAAAGTTGCAGTGTCAGACAGGAATTGGAATTGCAGACTTACGATTTACTCTGTGTTTTGTTTTGCTTTTGCTTAAACATCATGGACGAGACGTGCATGCAAACAGTGCAACTGATCTGTGGACATTTGTGAAAACTGCTCTGTGTATACGTATGTGCACATCATTAGTTATAGTTGAAACGGGGTGGAGGCAAGTTTCGATTTCACACTGCAAAATAGTGCACAAGAGTGGCCTGCATGGAACAGACATTTTGCTATCACCAGTTTTACTGCTTGCACTGGCAGAATTTGCGTGGAATAGATGGACCATGGATTTTTTTGAAGTAAACATCTGGATTTTCTAACAAAGCATATCAAATTTCACATATCAAAAGGTGAATCCGTGTCAAACGCTGCACAGTGGTAGCAAAACTCTCCTAACTTCCTTGTAGTCAGGGGATCATACATGTAGTTTAATTTATGTTTAACAGTCTTCACATTATTATTCCCATTTCCATGGTATCTTTAATATGAAAAATGAAGTAAACTTCCATGGCACATTCTCCTAGGAATGAAGTACATGTATATGGAAAGGTATTAGAAAAAATTCCAAAATTTTGAATATTCACCTTTGATCAATCTTAGTTTACTTTTTTTTCCTTGTGCACCTGAGTTTTCAATCAGGAAATATAGTCTTATAAACTAGATATATGCAGTTCATTTTCTGTAAAAAAAAAATGACCTGGTCACTCTGGGTCCAAAGAAGGTCATTATGAATTGGCCCATTGTGGGAACCACAACTTTATGACATCACTAAGAAATAGCATCAAGTTCTGATATCGGACAACCTGATGTGCACAGAGCATGCTAATTTCAGGGCCTAATTTAATTTTTTCTCAAAATTACAAAGCATCGTATTATAAACTACATAGATGCATGGTTCATTTATTTTGTTCAGAATGGAATTGGCTAATCAGGGTCCAAAGGAAGTCTTTATGAATCACACCAAATTAAGGGTAGCAAATATGAAGGTCAGAACTCCCCAGATGAAATAATTAACACCTCTCTGATGCAAAAGTCAAATTTTATAAAAACAAATTTCTCTAAACAGTTAATCAAGCTTGGAAGTCTCATTTACTGGTATGTGCATGTGTTAACAAAAAGCATATTGATAAGTGATGTAAGTGGACCTGTGCGTTAAAAGCTAAGAAACGTTTTCTGCTGTGGGGTCTGTATGCAAGTATACTGCCTCCTTGGTGAAAAAGAGAGAAGCCAGGTTGACATTGGAATGTAATTACTACTCAGTACCCTCCACCTGCAATGGAGAAGCTTTGTGTTTGTGTACCTCCAAATGAAAATAAGTCTTGTATTTCGTGCTAATGAAGTTGTTGGACTAGTGCGCAGACTCTGTGTATTGGCCTCACGTTGCTAGATAACAAAGGGCCCTATCTTGCTTTCACTTATAGCTCATCATTAGCTAAACTTTTCCTTCTGACTGTCAAACAAGTCGATAAAATTGGTCCATTATCTTTGTTTTGTGCTGAAAACTTGTGAGATGTGAATACTTTCAAGCGGTTAGACTGCAAATGTTGAAATGCATTCTAGAAAATCAGTCAAGTACTCTCATGAAATCTACTTATGATCACCATTTTGTAGAGTTCTTGATTATATTTGTGTGTACTGAATCTTCCACTTAGTCATAAAATTGAAAATTAATATTCTCTCCGTGAAAGGATGTTCAGTGTTCCTGCCAGGCCCCCAGCGAGCAGCTGGAAGCGTCAATATTACCACTTGTTCTTGTGATGTTCTCCCAGTTTGTACTGTGGCCCTCCCATGCCACTCAAAAAAACCAACCGACCAACCAGACAAATTGCCCAACTACAGTACTGAAGTGAAATGCCTTTATTTGTTTCCTTTTCTCTGTGTTCATGCCTACAGGTTACGTTTACGTGTTGTTTGACAATGAGAAGTCTGTCAAGGCCCTCCTCCAAGCCTGCACCCACGATTTCATGGGAAGCGGTGAGTGGTTCTTCAAGATATCCAGCCGCAGAATGAGATCCAAGGAGGTAGGTAGGGTTGACTGTTGAAAGGAGTAATAAAAATTTTGTTCTCACTTAACTCCATTCTCCTCTTAGAACCTTCACAATAATGAAGAATGTGGAAGGTTAAGAAAGGTAGAGCCTAGTCATTATTTACATTACAAGTTACTTGGTATCCTGTGAAACTTGACAAATTGAGAATGTGCCAATTTTTGTTGGCATAGGGAAGGATTTTCTGACCAATCCAGGTTGAGTTACAAATAAATTTTGTGGGAGTTGAGGATAAAAAAAGTTGAGGTCGTGACTTATTTTGTTGTTTTCAGTCTGGTCAATTTCACTAGAGGGAAGAATATTTTCAGAGTATGCTCTTGCTGTTTAGAAACTACTCCAGCACTGTTCAAGAATGATGGGAAATTTGGGTGCAAAGTTCAAGAAAATATGAGAAATTATCAGAAAATTATCCACATTTGAAGAAACCATAGCTTTAAATGTATTCCTTGCTAAAGCTGTCAGATTGCACAGGAATTCCAGAAAAGCCTGTTTGTTTTTTTGCACTATTTCCAGTTTTGGTTATGCCAAAAATGTATACATTTCTCAACAAGCTAGATAAAGAAAAAAACCTTGTTGTTGTGTCTTCTGATTTTTTTTGGTTTTGCCACATAGTTGGAGTTTTTCGTGTGTTCCTCCGCATGTGAAATTCCATTTCATATGTTTCAGCTACCAGGGAATGTTTTTGCATGCAAACAGTCCATGATCTTCAACCAGTCATAATGTACGGCCAGTGAATCTTCTAACATCTTTCAATGTGTTTTCTCCAAATTGTTAAGAGCAAGTTGTAATCAAATAAATATGTCCAGCATGTGCACTTATGAAACACTGCCAGAAAAAAAACAAGAATACAAAAAAATTAGAATTTGATTTGGAATTTTGCCTTTCCACAAAAGAAACGAATGCTCAGATACAGCAATAGAGGTTTCTGCCCAACTTTTCAAGTGGTCGTCCCAATTCAAGCAGAAATGAGACAAATGGTACATGATGTCATGAGGGTAGTGACAATGCTGTAAGAGACAGAAGAAGTCACGAGTTACAATGCATGTTTGTGCTAGTGTATAATCAAAACACCAGTGTGTGGTGAATATCAAATACTGACGATGAATCATTCTGCCAATATTGATAAAGACAAAGTCCGCAAAGTAAATGATAGTGTCACAACTCTGCCTTGACCAGACTGTTTATTGCTGTTGTTCCCCCTCACTTCCCCAAACCTGCCAAACCCCCAACCCAACTGTACCCCTCCTCCCACCATATTAGGTCAAAGTTAACCCACCTGCAACCGTGCGCTACCCTTCCCAAGAAATCCAACAAGACTACGAAAAAGTTGTGAGTTTCCTTGCATTTTGTTTCTTTTGTTTAGTTTGTTTCTTCAAAGCATTCCCCTGAATCTTCCCAGGTACCCAGCACAGTTTTGTGGCACTTGCACGGTTACTCTTCAATGGCCGCTGGCACACTGTGACATTTTGTTGACTGTGATTGCACTGGTCAACATTTGAATGTTGAACTAAGCAACCAGTTCTTAAAACTGACAGTTCATATTTGATCAGATAAGTAATGTAGACTGCTTCAAATAATTGTTTATTGGAGAATTAGCCATATGCTGCCGAGGAGCCCGGTTTCAGGCACATAGGCTTTATACAAGAAACCAGGGAGCCCGAAATTAGGCAAAAGAGCAGGGCCTTGTAACAAAAGACTGTATTTGGAACAAAAGACTGAGCTGCTGGGAATTGCCAACAGTTTTTCAGTTGTCAATAGCGGAGGAAATCTGTCCTTATTTTGAGATTATACTTATTACTTATTACTATACTTATTTTGAGATTTGAGATTATACCACTAATTGTGGCATTCAGCATGAGCGGATTACCTCGTGGAACAAAAGCGCTCCAGCAATGATACAATACTGCTGCACGCTAATCTGGCCCCTATTGAAAAGATGCCAGTAGCGCACTGTGCCGGGAACAAAAGAAAGTTACATAACACTGTGCAATCTGGGCTCTTTTTAGAAAGCTGAAATACTTGGGCGTCAAAGGATGTTGTCTGCCAGATTAGAGTAGTCACCCAAAAGTAATTTGTGTGGGTGTAAACATCCAGTAAATGAAGCTATGATTTTTTGAAGAATTTTGAAAACAAAAAATCTTGAAAATCTCCTTGTTTTAAGTTGTGCCACTTCAAATTCCACCCGGCAGCAAGTTGTTAAGAATTATTTCCCTAATCTCTGGATCAATATCCTGCCAGTAACTAAAACATTCTTTGACAGGTGTCAATGATTCTAAACCATGTGTACAATGGTTCTTTGCGTGTGCATCTTGGAGAAAAAAAATGCAGGGAGAACGAAGAATACAGGGAGGGAAATTACTGATTTGTAGGTGAAACTAGGAGTGCTAAAAAGTGGGGGGCTCACGGCCAACAGAATATGCTGTAACGATTTGCTTGAATTAGCCAAATTGTGCAAAGTCTGCCTCTTGCAATTTTTAAGTGCACATTTTCATGCTGTTTTGTACATTTCAAGTTGATTTGAAGGGACATGCAATAACCCACCTTGAAAGAACACCTGTATATTTAGTGCACCACCTGTATCCGATTGGTATGCCAATAATGAAACTGGTTAGTCCCCCTTGATCAATTTGTTTCTTTAAAGGCAGTCTTGTTGATAAACTGTAGAAGGAACAGTTCAACATTAAAGAATACCAAAGAACCTTTGAAACCCCACAGCAGACTCAATAGAATTAGTCAAAAGAGAATTACCTTCTAGACATTATCATTCTCCATTTTCAGTGCTTGTGTTTATTGATTTTGCCATTAAAAAGAGCACATAGTATCCAACGAGTTGCACTTTGTATGGTTTACCAAATGTAAAGGTGTACCTTGAGACCCTGTTTGCCAAACACAAGCAATTCACTGATTAGCTTGTCAGAGGTTATTCCTATCAGGTTTGAGCATAAAACTTGGACAGATTCCAGCTGTTTGAAGGCCACATTTGTTGCATCTGAGAGTGACCAGACTCTATCAAAATGTTCACTCCTAACTGGGCGCAGAAATTGACTAGTTTGGACACCCTGATATGACCGTGGGACCATCAGGCATTTGAGAAACATAGAAATTTTGTGTTAAAAGAACCCAGACTTCTTGAAAACAATATCAGATTTTGGCTGATCATTCAATTACACTGCCATGTGATTTACTCCCTGCAGAAAAGCTTTGAAAGTGAACCAACACTATTATAGGATTAGTTGCCATCATCAGCCTTGTCAAGACTTTGATTTTTAAAAAAGTGTCAATTACAAACTCGGTTGAATCCTCTAAACAGAGCCCATATTTGAACATTTTAGGGTACACCTCTTGTCTTAATAATGGGATCCCAATGAGGAAACCTTCTATCACTGCACAGAATACAGGATGTGTGCATATGTACAAGTAAGAAGGTCTTTAGGTCAAATTCTAATCTGCCCTGTTTGATCGGCATATATATGTATGTGTGTGTGTGTGTCCCCAGGTTCAAGTGATTCCCTGGGTTCTGTCTGACAGCAACTACGTCCGCTGTCCCTCGCAGCGGCTAGATCCCGACAAGACGGTGTTTGTGGGGGCGCTTCATGGCATGCTGAACGCCGAAGGCCTGGCCCACATCATGAATGACCTGTTTGGGGGTGTGGTGTATGCTGGTATCGACACGGACAAGCACAAATACCCAATTGGTAAGCTTTGAATACTCAATTGGTAAGCTTTGAATGTAGAGGCAAGTTCTTTTTCCTTTTTTCACAAGATGGTTTTGAGGATGGGTAAACAGAAATGTCAAAGAATGCACTACACAATAGCTTCAGCTTTAGAACAGTGCCTTTGCACAAAGGATGTAGTTTTCCCTCTGATTCCAGCATAATGAGTATTTTCAAAATTCCTGAGGCTACCACAGACATTCTGAAATTTATTAAAATTGAGTCCTTGAAATGCAGTAACCTTCCCCAACATTGTCCTTGAGCTCTTCCACAGTTTTTTCGTCCAGGATCATATGCAGGGTAATTTGTTGATATTGTGGGAAATGTCTGTTGGGCCTCGGAGCCATTGTAGACCCATGTTGTGGTACCAGACTGCATCTAAAGCCAGAGTAGATTCTGTGTATATGTGTGCTTTTCATGGAATTTTTGCAGCAAACTATTAACTTGGGCAGGAGAATCGTGCCTAATCCACAGATCTGCCCAAATGACCCTAAATTAAAAATAAAAATAGTCAGGGAATCACATCAAATTCATGCAGAGTTCCAACCAGCTAATGGACCCCTCCCGCAAAAAAAAAATTGTAAGAGAACATTAACTACTGTACATGTTCCTTTGCATTGCATGTGCATACGCATGTATGCCCTTGCCCTTGCAACATACATTGTACACACCCAGTATCAGGCCTAATTTGTTTATTTTGTTTTATGTTTTTCTTGTTTTTCATTCAGGTAAATGTAAAACTTTCTGTAAAATTTGAAGAAAATACTGCATATCATGGTGAGAACAGTGGATAATGCATTCCAAACACCCCTGAATATTTAGTCCATAGGGGAACAGAGCTGCTCTTTGCAAATCTAACAAGTGTCATATGGATTTTTAATCTGGGGTTTTTGCTAATCATCTGGTTGCCAAGGGACCAGAAGTTAGATCAAAATGCTGTTAAATTAATTGCTCTTCCATCTGGAAGACCCTGCGAGTTGGTTGTGGGGTTCGAAGGTCAAAAATGATATGAAGCTCTCCTGCTGGGAACCACGTGTTATCATCATCATATCATCATCAATATCATCATATTTGTATTCCTGATGAGATGTTTTGGTTGGTAGAATGTGGGAGGGAGGGGGAATTGCAGGCAAAAGGAAACCCCTCACTCGTGAATTATTGTTAACAGACATTGCAATCCATCTATAGGCCAAATGGAATACTTTTGATATACAGTGTATCTGGTGGAAAGCGTACCAGTTGGTCCTTTTCTGTTGTTCATGTCACATTTGAGCTAATATGCCTATGGTCAAAATGATGCAAACAATAGTGGAGTTGTCATGTTGAACCGTTATGTTTGCCACCGCTGAGCATGTCAAAAGTCTCCCACTGCACATGATTCGCAAACAAAAAGACACCTTGAAGTGTTGATGCCATAATCTTGCCTGAAGCAATTGTGTTAAGGAAATATTTTCAAGTGTCATTGAGGAAGGCACACATGACTTAGTTAAGAATGTGGACATGTGATATTCCTTGAATGTGAATGTGGAGTTATTATTTTAATGAATAGGATGCTTGATGCAAAACAAAATTGAGGAAGTGAATACAGACTATTCATAGGATCCGCTTGTCTTGAGTATTAACAGAAACTCAATGTGGAAGGAATGTCAAGCCTATTGTAATGCTATCATGGCCATGAGTCTGCCTCCCTCTAATCCTGCAAGACCACAAATCCTAGTTGATTTTGAAGCATCTGGCAAGGTTTAGGTCAAAGAGTGAAATATGTGAAGTTTTCGTTTGTTCGTGTATATTTTGTTAATAGAACCAACATCATTTTCAGTGGTCTTGTGGTCTCATAAATTGTGGTGACATCTAAAATGAAACTGATTATTGCCACGAACATTAAAGTGACTTATAAATTCCAAGTAGAAACACCTGAGCATTCAAAAGATTGGATTTGAAAATTCCTGGGGAGGGGGACTTGAAAGCACTACCCTGTGGATACTGCAGTTGTTGAAATTAGGTAGATGTATACACTGTATTTCCATAACAGCAAGTGGGAAATATACATGTGTATGATTTTTTTATCTGTCCTTTTTCCAAAAAACTAGGTTCTGGGCGTGTCACCTTTAACAACAGCAAAAGCTTCATGAAGGCTGTCGGGGCAGCCTTTGTGGAAATCAAAACCACCAAATTCACCAAAAAGGTATGGTTTGCTTTTGGGCCAAAGTTACCGGTAGGGTGAGTTCATCAAAGGGACGGGATGTTATGCAGTTGATCAACAGAGCAGCATTTTGAGGTGTTAATTGAAATGTGTGACCCTGTGAAGTTCATCCAGTCAAATCTGAGAGATCTGGAAAAGTCATTGGTGGGGAGGACGTGAAAGATGAGAGCCATATGAACTAAACTGTCATATGACGGTTCCCATGGTCATGGAAACTCCAAAAAAATCCTGGAAAGTAAGGCTATTGTGGAAAAAAATGGAAAAGTCATGGATAATTAGTGGGAAAAATGGGTGTCCTGGAATCCTGTTGTCATGGATATCAGTATCATGTAGGGGTTATTTTTTAATGGCCACTGTTGATGTGATAACAGAATGATACATTTACAGGCTATCCTTTTCAGTCTGTTGTAGTGGCTAAATGGTATTCTTCCTGTTCATAATAACAATTTGTCTCCACATAATGACATTAAGTTTCATGGAAAATTGTGAAATTTTAGTCTGAGAAAGTCCTGGAAAAATCAAGGATTTGTTTTCAGATTCCTGTGGGAGCCTTGCACATCCTTTTAGAGGGGATGCACAAGAATGGTTCCTATTTTACTTATCTTATTCCGGAAAATATTCACTGAAATTTCTCAAAACCAGGTATTGAAATAAAAAAAATCCATGCATGCATTCATTTCAAATTTCATTTGAGTGGGGCTGGAACCTGTGCCAACTGAGGGAGGTGCATTCCACTTGATGTCAGCATATATGTATAAACAAGTGATTTCTTAACTGGATTCGTGGAAGATACAGTACAAAGTGCAATGAATGCAAAACATAAGTGGAGCGTATCCCATCTGTTTGAATACCAAGTTGGCATGGGTTTGGCAAACTGGCTGTTCAACGTAGACACAGCAGTAGATGCAAACAGAAAGACTTCCAGTAGATTTACACTAAGATGATACAGTTTTCAAGGGCTTAATATGCAAAGGGCAAAACAAAATTTAAAAATTGCATCTTTTGATGCAACTGTTAGTTGTGATTAACTGTGGGATGTCCTGAAATTAAAGTCTCAATCCTGCAGTAGGAAACTCTTTCGTAAAAGTCTGATGGACACAGGGTGCTAACACTGATGGTGGGAGGGGGGAGGCACTAGCTCACCCCATTTTTTTGACTGAAGGGGTTCAGTCCCCCCCCCCCAATTTTGACAGGTCCTATTGGGGTAGGGCTTAATCAGTGTATTAATGACTGATACCTGATGGTCTCACAACTTCCCCCTCACCACTTTGGAAATTGTTCTGCCACTGCTGTGTAACATCAAGCAAAACTGCACAGAAATACATTTACAAATAGAAAGAGGAGTCACCCCTAACCTGCAAATTTAGGTGAGCTAACAATTCTGACTTTAGAATGTGATAACAGTTGTCTCTGTGGTTTGCTCACCTTGTAGGTTCAAATTGATCCCTACTTGGAGGACTCCTTGTGTAGCCTGTGCCACACCCAGCCTGGTCCCTTCTTCTGCCGCGAGCAGACCTGCTTCAAGTACTTCTGCCGCTCCTGTTGGCTCTGGCAGCACTCGCTGACACAGCTGCGCAGCCACAAGCCCCTGATGCGCAACAGCAAGACCAAAACAGCCGAGAGCTGCTACGGAGTCTGGTGAAGGAGGTGTTTGTCTAGCTCCCTGTTGAGGCACGCTCTCTTGGGGTGCACGCATACAGGCATGCACAGTGAACGCAAAGACAGTTGGTGCAACCGACTGTGATTGCTGACTGCTGACTCAAAAGCTGGAGATGAAAGCCAGAGGAGGAGGAGGAGAATGAGAATGTGGATGTGTTGTGCAGCATCCAGTTGGCTGTTGAGTCCAGGAGACTACATGCTGATTGGCAGCCTGTAAAAAACTGCTGATTGAGAAAAGTTCAGTCTGTACCTGTCAGATGATTGGGCAATTTTTTTCCCCCAGAAGCAGATCCATTGTGAAAATTCTTGGTGATTGAAGGAGTTCGGGGATGCAAGGGGACCGGACTGGTTGATTGATCAAGCTAGTTTTGCATCGTAATCACAAGTGATGAATTAATAAGGAGATTCTACTGTTCACCGTCTTTGCATCAAGTTTCGCTGACTGCTGAATTGCTTGTAATTTGTTAGGAAAATCTTGGTCAAATGACGTCCAGGGAGTGGATAGCATGGGCTTATAAATACATTTTTGGTTTTGCCCATGAAATTCACTTCCTGATCATAAAATTCAGTTCCTGATGTTGGTGATTTTAATAAAATGCCTAGCACTTATCCGAATCATCTGTATGGAAGGTGGCACAGCAAGAACGAAATCATAGTAAATCTAAACAACTACCATTGGCAGTTTTTGCTAAACTTAGAAAAATTCTTTCCGTCGTTTAATAACAAGAGAAACATTGATGTGATTTTCTAGGTCCATTCTGGCAATCCTCACTGTCCACATGAGAATATCAGGACACAAGGAAGAAATACTATAATTAGTGCTTTTCAATTGAACATCATAAATCTTCAAGTGATTTTTTTATCAGGTGCACACAAACGTTACCCAACCAAGGTATAACTCATGAAGATACAAAATACAAGCTTTTATTTGGCAGTTTTACAGGAAGATTTTAGAAGTTAGTTCTTACCCATCGGATTTTTTAATAATTCCTGCTCAAAAAGATTCTCAGTTTTATTTATTTTTTGGAATTCCTTGGAAATACATCTTTCACATTTAAACAAACTAGAGACAGGGATTTTTTTATAGAGCTGGATTTTAACAAAAATTTTTTGAAGGAAAATAGGAATTTCTTATCACAGCAATTTTTCACAAGGATATATTACTGGAAGACTTGTTGGTTTAGGCCTTTTTATAAGAGCAAAAAATTAAGTTACAGATCATCCTTTGCGTAGTATTTTAACAAAACCAGAAATCAACCTGAGCAATTATTTGCACATTTTTTTTAATAACCTGATGGCTATTGTTTTTTTTTCTTTTTAAAATGGAAATTGAAACATTTTACATCCGTTGAATGCCATTTTCTATTGATATAGAACACAGGATATAAACGTACAGCATTATTCTCATTTTGTGTAGCAAATGGATTTTGAAATCCGGAAACAAACATTTCTAAAGTTGTTAGAAGCTGCAAATGCTGTTTAGCACACTATTTACATTTAACATATAAATACATTCTACCCCTTTTCCTCATTGTGTTTGAGTACGAGAACATGTGCAGGCTTTGACTAACCAAGAAAAATGACATGAAAATCAATATTCAAAAGTACTATTTTGTATATGCCAGGGTGGATGTTCTGATCTAAGACGGTGCATTCTGTATGGAAAGGAATATTTTGTCATGCTCAAATATTTCAGTATTTTTCTCTTTTGATAGCATTTATCTTTTACTAGTAATGCCCAGATAGAATCTTGGGTATGTATATTTCTTTGATCCAAAGAGGACAAGCCATCCAGTTTTTGTATAATTTTTTCAAGGTATTTTTCTTAATGTAGAGGTTGAGATATTTTTAAAAATTAATTGTGGAAGGAAGATCCTCCATTTGAAGGTTTTGGGGCAAAATCAGAAGGAGAATGCTCGCTTCGAGAAAAAAAATCTTTGGAGAGTAAATGTTCTTTTTCATCGTGAGGTTCAAACTGATGTTGCAAAAGCCTTAAGTGCTTTAAGTGCTAATTTGCCTGAACTTTTGTCGCTTTCAACTTTATTACTATTTTTAAAAAGAAGCAATGAAAACATGTATATTTTCATTTTGTAAGAGAAGTGTATAAAATGATATTGTGATATTCTAAAGCTGGAAATAACAAGAAAGTTATTTACCCGTCCTGAGCTTTAAAGAGAAAAGTCAGTAGAAGAAGTACTAGGTTGTATTATTTGAACTACTGCATGTGTTTTTGGTGGCTGTCAAGAAAAGTTGAAGTGCCTTTAAATATATTGCTTTCGACTGCCAAAACAAAGAAAGTTACGATTTTAAGTGTTGGTGTTTAAAGTAATTGAACTGCGGGAATTAAAGAAAACCCAGGAAAGCTGTTAGGTATTGGAGTGCAGGTTGCTATTTGCTCAAGCGGTTCCTCCTTGCGACTGGAAGCATCCCCTGACTGTGGAATTTTTGCCTTTTTGCACTTGTACGTTAAACTGTAACTAGTAAAGCGAATGTATTTAACATTTTTTGATAATGTGTCAGTGTATACCCATTTTTGTTAGCATTGAATTTTGTGGGAAAACAAACAATAAACCTGAACAGCATAAGTATCTAATTTGCATATATGGTACACATTTTATGTAGATGTTCAGAAATACAGTTGCCATGACATTAGGTGATTGTAACTATTTTGCTGACTGGTGATAGTATTTTAACAAATTTTGCTTAGAAAATTGGACACAGCTATTTTTCCGTATTTACAGAATATGTATGGTTTTTGTTTTTAAATAGAAACTCTGGGATAGTGCTCTTGTAATGTAAAAAGTAGCTGTTAAATCTATGCATAGTTTTTCATGTTGTTTCAAAGGCATCCTAAGTTTAATTGAGTAATTTAGTTTTTTCAGCCAAAATAATATTGCCCATTGCAAATCAATTGGAATCCCGAGTCCCAACTTGTCGTTGCAGATTAGCATTTCCTGGACCCAGTAAATTTGAGTTGACCTATTGCAAAAGTTGAAAAGTGAACTGTTGGTTGATTGATGTTGCGCTACTCAGCCTTAAGACCACTAAGCTAGCCTCATGGAAACTGCTGTCAAACTGTTGTCTAATGGTCATGATATAATCTGCTAGTTCTGCCTGCCGTTTGTATGTTGCCTTTGGCTGTTGACGCAGTATGTAATCGTGTCCCAACAAGGTCAGGAGCACTCCTGTGGCACTGGTCCAGGCATTTTATATAGCAGCTCTCAATTAAAACGATTTGGTTGGGTAGGATTAAATACTGAATTAATGATTACATTTTCACGATGATTTGGACTCTTAACATGATTGTAGACTGCTTAAGAGTAGGTTTTCTAGTTAGCCATCACTTCAAGTTTCTGATTGTTTTCCAATGCTAGGTATAAGCAAAATACAAAATGATGCATCTTGGATATTCATATTGTGTCACACACTGAAATGGGCATAGGTAGTATTGGTAAGGGTAGGTTGCTAAGGTGGCAAGAGTGCAATCAATGCTAGGACCATCAGTAACAGCCACAAACTTCATATACAAATCTGGACCTGTAGTCCCTTTATCAACATGCAGAGGTCACTGAAGCCACTGGGCGACCATCTTACCATGCCGAATACAAAGGTAGTACAAAAGTCTGCTCGCCATTGTTCATCAAATTCGTTTGTGGTTCATGTTTCAATAGTTACAGTAGCGAGCCAGCCAACCATTGCCTTTGTATTTGGCACGGTGAAATGGCAGCCGGTGGCTTCATTCAGTACAAGAGCATTGCGAGTTCAAATTTTTTTCTCAAAACATGCTGCCTATTGTCCTCTTAATGTTAATTTTTGTTTTATTTGTTCTTTGAATTTTCAGATCTGTTAGAAGTTGACAAAACAAATGCAGAACAATTAAAGTACACTTAGAGTAGTTTTAAAGAATTAGATCATTGTTTGGGCTTCCATGCTTCAAAGAAATTTGAGAGTTACTGATGTTTACATTTCTTCTGCGTGTACTTGGTACTTTTGTGTACTTTTTGACTTCTTTAATTCTCCATTTGAATTTATTTTATAAACGGTGTTAATGTACCAAAGGAGGAGGTATACTTTATTAGATTTGCAAATTCCTGTTTAACATTGTTGTAATTTAAATTGTTTTGTGCGTTACATTGCACCCTCCCATTTCACATTTGGCACTTGACATAACGTGATTGATGTGTGCAATATTTTGACAGATAAGTTTTGCCTGTGATTGTCAAATATGCCATATTTATATTTTTTTCTTGTTCACATCAGTTGATTGTAGCACGTGGTGCACTGACGTTAAATAAAGACACCTGTTTCTGCATGCATTTCAATGGAAAAATTGTCTTGTCTTTATTTATTAAATTAAAAAACACTATCACTGAATTAAGCACATTACATTAAAAATTCAGAAAAAATATGCAATAGAAGAATACAGCAATGAAGACTTTTGTCATGAACATCATCTCTTGATTTTAGGCATGAAAAAAAAACTAGAATGAAAAATGCAAATTGGAAAAAAATGCACCAATTTTAAAACCTAATTTTGGGGATTTACAGTAATCATCGGAGCTTGTCAAGAGCAAACAAGATTACAGAGTTTCCATGTTATGAAAATAGGTCAGGAATTTTAAGACAGCAGAAATTACACAAGACTTCATTATAAACTCTTGGGTACCCGTATCTTGACTGATATTGTCATTGCTTTGGAAATCCGTCTTTAACCCAGTGTTCATTTACCAACAAAAAGTATGGCTCTGTGTGACAATATTCATATTTTTCCCACACAAGTGCAAGAAATTGGTTTGTCTCATGAAATAACCCCCCCCAAAGAATTGCATTAGACAACGATTGAAATGATACAAACCTAGCATTTATATATTTGGTCACCATAGCCAGCAAGCAGGTTACATACTTTTCATTTAAAACAAAAAATGCATCTCTTAGAGTGATTTCGGTCTTCCTACAATAATCTCACAAGTCAAACCCTCTGAGGTAAGTATCTATTCAGCAATAACGTCATCCCTAAGTGCATGCATGTTCAACTAATGCCTCCCCTCTACCCAGTTTTTATATTTTATACTGCTGGAAAGCTTGAAATTCTCCACAGCAAAGATCTCATTTCAAAACATGTTGACAGAGACGAGAAAAAAATACTGCATTTTGTTGTGTGACCCATCGGAGTGCTTTATTGTCAAGCATGGTTAAAAATTCCCTGTGAAGGAGTGTTGTGATTTCAAAACTCGCTTGTCAAGAAGAATAGGAGGGAACATTGCAAGGCCCCCCCAAAAAACCTAAAAACATATAACAGTTATTAATTATTAACCTCTTTTCTGATTTATTTGTGCATGTTTTGATCAAACAGGGATGGATTACTGAACAAACTTGTACCACTTTGTTTCAGTGCAGTATTAGCAGCATACATGTATATGAAGCTTTCACAGGATTATTTGAAATTACTGCTTTGGTCCTAATAAGCAAAGTGTGTAAGGTACAAAACAGCAGAACAGTCAATACCGGTTAACCGATGGCTAAATGTATTTTTTCAAGCTGGGAAACCTCTCATTTTTCTCTACGGTGTAAGGGGTCATCCATTTTTATCATTTTCACAAGTGCACAAAGCGTACTCTCTTTCCTAGTCTCCCACCTCCCCCCCCCCAAAAAGAGTGCAAAATAAAAATGATGATTTCTCCGTGGTACATGTGGACTCATTTTAACTCACAATGTATGGCTGTAGACACCAGAGAATAGTGGCAGGAGGAAAAACAACGTCCATGACAGGCCTCGACATCCGTGGTTTTCCGATTGCCCAGGACAAATTTCTTCTTTCAGTTCAGGCAAGTAAAAATCAAGGGCAAATTACTCAATGGACAGGTACTTTTTTCTTAAAACAAAAGAGTTAATTTTTGTGGCCAAGAACAGCAGTCAGTAAATATACCTTTTGATTTTTTTCCTCCGAACAAAAGCTCATAAAAAGTGGTAAAAAGCATACAGTCCTGGGCACTCTCTGCACGTACGCAATAGTTGAGGGGTGATAGTTGGCTGGTCTATGCTAATAGTAATTTTTAACATGTTTCTAAAGAGCACGCAACCAATTGCTCATATGCAAAGTTAAAGATTAACATAATCATAAGCTGGAATACTTAATAAGGTCGAAGAGAATCCTGCCTTCCAAATGCTGCTTTCGTACGATGCTTAGGGTGTGAAGTCCACATTACCATCACAGGTCCAGGATTCGATCTCTGTACTCTGGCGAGGGGTTCTCTTGAAAGTACTTCTGCAAGTAGGTGCACGTCAGCTTCATGTTGGTCCCCTGGGATGCAAAGTGCTCCAATGCAACCTTCAAAATGTGACAAAACAAAAACAGAAGTACAGAAAGGAATTGATTCTCTTCTGCAGAGTGGCCTTGTGGTGTGGTGTGAGGTAGGGTTGAAGTGAGATAACTGGGAGTGGAGGTTTAGGAGCTGGATGGGGCATACACTAGGGTGGAAGTGGGGGTAAATGTGGGGTGGGGATTAGAAGGGGTCTAGCATGCAGGTCATGCTACATGTACATGGGAATGAACCCTATCAAGGCACTCACCTTTGCTAAGACTTTTGCAATGCCCTTCCCTCTCTGAGAAACTGGAACGCCAGTGTGATACAGGTTGACAATATCAGGACCTAGGACCTCATATTCCAATACAGCCTTTTCGGATTCACCAGCTGAATGGAATGCAAGCACGAAACAATTATTGGGCTACAAACTGGCCCTTGAACTATGGAGATTCTCAAGGTGCTAGGAAGGCTATGCAAACTATCTATGCACTGTCAGCCAGTATGCACCTACTGTCTACTGTGAAGTGGTCCATTATCTTCAGGTACATGTACAGTACATGTACATAAGCTAGAGAAGTTATTTACACCGAATGAAAACCTGGGGCTCCAATTTTTTAGCTGTATGAATGATTTTCGGCGCAACCTTTTTTTGTGGGTTTGACAAATATTTATCACACCTCCGGTAAATTCATAGGGTCTATGTCTAATGTTTTAGGTACTGATCAGATGGACACATCTTCAACATTACACAGGTGCCCAGATATTGTTTTCTGGGTACATTTAAATGTTTTAGCATGATGCACTCTTAAACATAAATTAACGAACAATATATAATTTTTGAATAGGCCTAGAATCCATTTAAATTATTCATATCTTTAATAAGACTGAATATATTGGGTACAATGAATCAGTCAATCTGCATGATTAATCAGTCTTCAGATCTTTGCATGATCAGTCGATCTAATTTTATGATTCTTACTGTACTAGTGGCAAACGGGCAAAGTGGTGGCATGGTGGGTAAACTGGTGAAGTGGAGAACGGATGGCTGGAGTGGAGTTTTAACATGATTAATATCGTTTTACTGCTTAGGGTTTTAGTTTGGACCAGAAAACTTATTCCTCAATGCTAGAACTAACCCAACTTAATGAAGAACATTTTGTTCTCCACATCATGATTGACAACCAGATCCGACGATGCCTCAGCTGCAGTGAACATCAGCCTCAAGTGCCCGCCGGCAATATGTTTGCAACTTGAACAGCGCAGTGACAAGAAGTTGGAAAGGAACTTCGGAGCTTGCTGCCCGCTTCTAGAAACTGGGTGACTGTTCGCTGTGAAGGGAGAAAGTTGAGGAAATCTCTGGAACAGTAAGCTGGCAGAGCGAGGAATACTCATTGTTTACCTCTGTATGTGTAGCAGCCGCATCACCAAACCACAGACCTCTCCTCCAGGTTTATGATCAAACCATAACTCCTTACTCAGCTAGATTTAACCAACTTATACATTACTATGTAGGCCGTAGGCCCCAAAAATCAAAGGCCCAAAAACAACATGATTTGTGTGACATACATTACCCTGGATATCCGGATGTGAACTCTAACCGTGGTTGAAACTATTTATACAAAAGGGGTGTTTTCTAAAAATAAACCTTATAAAAATTTGCATTTGTTCATAAAACTTTCATCAGTCCAATATAAAAAGTTACCAAAGAGCAAATTAAATTCTAGAAATTAAAATTTCGTTAATTGCTTTGAATTTTTTTCGGATTTACTGCAAACGTATTTTTCAGTAAGCCTCCCAGGAAATGGTGTTTACTATCGTGGAGGATCATGGAATCGGATAGCGCCATATTGAAAATAGTGAGGAAAGTCCTGTGGGGTGCCAAACTTCAAAGAAATTTTGCAGCAAAAATCCGGTTTTCTTCCTCAACGATTAAATTGATGCTAAGTAATTTGTGACTGGGTCATGCAAACGGGTAATTTTTTTCACCAAAGCCGTGTTTTTATGAGTAGAGTTGACTCTCTTCGCATGCTGTCGAGCTTTTCTACTTGACCGAGTGTTTGGCCTATGTAAACATGGTAAAATTAGTACACGCACTTGCGAAGTGGCAAAGGCCTACCCCCAGAACTGTGGGGGTCCGACGTCCGTCCCGCTCGTACTATATCGTGGGGGCGGGACAGACGTCGAACCCCACAGTTCTTGGGGTAGCATTGGTCTAGTTGTGCTGCACTACGCATACGCCGGCAGTGACCGGACACAGAACTGAGTGATATGATTGTCACTTGTGCTTGTCAAGTAGGACTAGGCCTCCTTTGTGTCATAAATTGAGCCAATTTCGCTTTAAGACTAGGCCTAGGCCCTAAGTGAATATGTTTATAGAGCCTACTGCAGTTTAACGTGTCTGTTGCAATTAGGCCTAAAGGCCCAATGTTAGGCCTAATTAATGTCATGAAAATGTGGCAGCAAGTGAGGAATTTTGCTGAATTGTCTGCAGTTGATTTTTAATGTGATAGTGATAATGTAATTTTAAAAAATGGAGATAAGTTGACTTAGGTCTTTGTTCTTATACTAGGTTCCCTGACATGAGTGATCTCAATATCATTATATGATACTGTATGACTTGCGTGTTATGCATGTTGGAAACAATTGGTCGTGTGTGATCGCTTGATTTTTGCAAGATTTGTCAATCTTGCTAATAATTTGCCAATTCTGACATCTGCCAATCACCTTTTCTGACTACTTCACAGTTGTGGAAGACTGTCGTAAAAGGAGCTCAGTTGCAGAATACACACCACCCTGCATGATCAACCTCATTGCCAGGTACAGGTCAAAGTGTCACATTCTTCTCAAGGGATTTTCACCTTGTACCCACATAACCAGTCATTCCAGGGGTAATTTTTTAGAGTGGCAGGGCATTCTGCAATTACTCCAAAACAGGAAGTAAAGTGGGAGATTTCCATTGATAACTCAACACAGTACAATTTATTCTGAGAGTAAAGAGCATTAACCCCCAGAGTGTATGGTTCTTTTATGTGCAGATATGTAACCTCATTTGCTTTAATACCAAATCCATGGTGAATCATGAAACAAATTAAAATGTCAAAATCTTTTCCAACATGAATTTGTCGGTTTACTTTTTTAGCATTCTAAAGGAAACTACCGTAAATAAGATTAAACAGAAACTTCCATAAGGTCTGCCTTTTCAGGACCAGTTGATTGAAAGTATGTGGGAGAGCTTTATGAGTGCGTTTTGTGGAAGGGATTACAAAATTCAGTTAAGGTTGAATATTATCCCTTACAGTACCATCCATCCGCTAGCAGATTTAGGGTTAATCATACTTCATGATCAAAGATTAACTCTAACAGTCTTCAATCCTCTGATTTTGACATGATTTTACTCACACCTTAGGAAAATCTGATGGAAAGTGTTCAGGCACGTCAGCAGGGTTCCCAAGACTTTGAAGGCTACTACAAACAGCTGTGTGCCCTGCAGAACACGTGCCCCTTGACTGGTGTCAAAGTTCACCTGGCTGAGGGAGTGCTTGACCTCAACGGGGACCGGATCCGGGCCCCGGACTGGGCGCCAATTCTCAATGCTCTGCGGATCAACAAGAGCCTGAGGTTTGTTGGTATCAGGAGTTACTACCAGCATGTGATTGGCTGTGAGGGTGAGATGGTTTTCAATTCTGTGGCTTTTTTCATTTTTGGGGGGGGGTTCTTTTGCTTTGTTATGATGAAACACTTTGAACAGTCATCAAAGCCTGAGGTTAATTTTGTGGAAATACATGTAGACCCTCCAGTTTTTAAAATTATGGTTGACCTTAACCCACAGGGTGTATGTAAAGTCATATTGAAACTGGAAGATTGAGGACTGTTTAGGTTAAGGTAGCCCGACCCGTTTGAATTTGATGCTGCCGAATTTCTAAAAGCGATACCTTATAATTGATAGGAGTCAGCAAATCTCTAATCTTAAAAATTGTTTCAGACCCAAGAAGCTTACCGTTAAAAGTTTAGAATTAATAATAAAACATCAATTTGACTTCTGCTAGTTACCATTTGTCACCAGTTAATTGAAATGATTGAATTGAACTGGTTCATATGACTAGTTTTCTAGTTACATGTATGTTGCTGAAATAGTGGACATAGCTGAGCCATAAAAAGTGAACCCAGAATGTACAGGTCTCAATCTTGAGAATGATTCTGAGTAACCATTGATTCTTACATGTAGTAACCATCTCAAGCTATTTTGGTTTGAAAAATATACATGTAATTGTGCAAATGTGGAAAAAGAACTTTAAGTTGAGTAACTTAAGAAGAGTATATGTACGGGGATACAAATGTTGAATTCTAATACACAAGTAACATAGTGTATGAAAGTGAAAAAAAGAACTCTCAACATGTAGCTCAAGTCAGTTTGTTCCACTTGTAAATATATTCAATGTTTTCCCCTGTGTTGCCTCAGATTTCCAAGATGGCAAGCCCCGGTCCCGAGTCAAACGTCGGCCGCCTCCAATACGTTCCAAGGAGGTTATTCACCACCTGTGCGTGGCACTAGGGGACATGCTGTCTGTCTCCCAGGCAGTGACCCACATCGAACTGCAGGGGATCCCTTTAAGGATCAAGGATATTCAGCTGATTGCAAAGGTGCGGTGTGAGCTTGACTTTATCTCCACTTCAGCAGGAGATTTAAAGGGGCACTCTCAACTCTAGTACCTAATGACACCTACATACTGTTCCATTCTCAGAGACCTATAAAGCAAATGTTTGGCACAACAAATGTTTCAGCACATGTACATATGAGGAACTTCTGTGCAGACATTTAATTAGATGCAGTGTATATTGCATTGCTTTTTGATTAATACGCTGCGTTTGTTTCGGTTCGTGATACAGTGTTCAGCCAGTTTCCATATTCAGCTTCATAGAACTTGGCGGCCTTCTGATAGAATTCAGTCAAAGGTCGTGCATGCTATTTCATTGCTAAGCAAACCTGGTATCTTTTGTTGGAAAGCAATGTTTCGACGTCTTCAGCTTCTTTCCCTTCCCCAAAATGCATTGTCCAGGTGATAGTGAGAAACAGCAGTCTACAGCATCTGTCGTTGGAGTCCTGTCGAGTCGGCGACCGTAGCGTGGAGAAACTCTGCCAGGGCATCAAGCACTCGTCGGGCATCACATCTCTCAACTTGTCTGGATGCGGACTGACCAGCCAAGGGGCAGAGTCCTTAGCCAAGCTGGTCAAAGTAAGTCGTCAGCCCTGAGAAATCCCTTGCACTCTACATTGAAGTCTCTCACCGCCCTTTGTGGTCTGCCATCTTTAGCCATGTTCGCAGTGGACTGAAGATTTTAACAAGTACTGCAAGTGCTTTTGAACCTTCCATCACAGTTGTTCCTTGCACGTGGATTACTTGCGACCTGTGGAAATTCCCTTGGTCACTTCAAACCTGCAGTGGCATATTTTCTCAGAATATCATAGGAGCACCCTCCAGTTGACCTTGTAACCTGACACTGGCTGTGGCTTCAGGGAAGCTGAAAATCATTTGCAGTGTTTTTGTACATTGTGAAGTCATTCATTTTTGTATCTCCAGTGTCTCACATGTACATGTATGTACATTACTGTATTGGTTTGTACATGGGAAACAACAGGTTATACAAGTATGCTCTGACCCATACACATGATGCACACAAGGGCCAACCAGAGGTAATACATTAGAGTTAGCTACTGGTCCTGATGTATTTTGGGGATCAGTATGAAGCTTCAGTTTTGACAGTGGCACGTTTCTTGCTTGCTTTGTTGCAGCACCAATCAATGCAGCGACACAGCGAAGCATGGAAGGACAGCCTTCGGTATCGCCGGCCAGACCTGGACCGCATGGCTGGTATCCGGCGCATCACACTCAACCAAAACCCACTGGTGAATGATGACGGGGCGGTGGCTTTTGCTGAGGTCTTGAAAGATGACCTCTGGCTTAAAGGTGCGGGATGTGGTAGGGAGTGGGAACACTTTTAGCTGGCGGGCCAGCAAGGCATCTGAGTGTTAGTTGCTGTGCGTGTGGTGTGGAGTATGCACAACCAATTTTCATTTGAATGTGTACAAACCTCTGTAAATTTTTTGTGTGCATGCTCAGGGCACCGTGTTATTTTAGTTTTCCCCTAGCCTGTCTCTTCATTTTATGAGGGAACACTTGTGTCCATCTAGCAACCCCTTCCAGAGGCCATTATCAGATGCAAGGGGTCTTGTAGCATCGGCCATATTTTCAAAGAGCAAATGTAGGTGCCAAGTGAAAGTCAGCAGAGAACCAGTTACACGCAGTGCACCCATTGCATATAGTTTGGCTGGTTATCTGTTTTTCGCTAATATAATTTTTCGGATTGGCACATCTTGTCACAACCTACCCACTATCCACTGGAAGGTATTTTTTTCCTCAAGAGACAATTCAAGGGGTACATGCCATTCTGTGCATAGGAGTCATTTGGAAGGTTGTGCTTCCCCAGTTTCTGTCTGGATTGAGATCACTACATTAGAAATTTGTTGTAGATTAAATTGGATTTGATTTGCCATGGTACAGTTTGCTTTGGTTTGGTTTGATTTGTCTGTCAGTATTTGTGCTTTCAGTTTCATGAACCTGACTCAAAGTCTGACACCAAGAGTTACCACTTGTTTAAATAGTATCCTCACTGGAATGTATGCAAAGGGTGCACAGAGGATTATGACTAGTGAACAACGAGCACAGATTCTGTCCTTGTTTTTCTGCACTGCAGCACTTGACATGCAGCACTGTGGCATATCCAACCTTGGAGCCAAAGCGTTGCTGGACAGTTTACATCAGAACTCCTCCATCGTGGTTCTTGACATCAGGAAAAACCATCTCGTTGGTAAATGAACTCTCTATCTGGGACCCTTTAGCAAATTTGTTACTTTGTCACGTTGTGGTATCAATAGGCCACTTCTCGTGTTGGCCAGCATTCATGAAATCTGAAGTTCTCTTCAGTCAGTCTTAACAAAACAAAAAATCCTGTTGAAAACACTGTTCTCTTAAATATTTGTTCTAGTTCAATTTAATACAGTTGCTCACGAAGAAATTGCTCTTCATATTTGGGAAAGTCTGGATCACCGCTAAACAAGAAATGACCTTTAGAGATTATTTTTGACATTGAAAATTGATGTTGTGCCTGTTTTGGTTCTGTTGGGATTTATTTCTTTTTTGGGGGGAGGGTTAATTTGTACATAATTCTTTTTTAATTCATTCAAATTACCAGTTCTGATTTCAGTTCTTTTTTCTTGGATCATTCACAGATCGCGATGTACTGAAGGCAGTGATGAAACAAGTTCTGATAAATGCTGGAGGTGAAGAGAATGAGGTCAGTGAGGGATCATCTCCAAATTTCTAATGATCTCTTTTCTCAATACTCCTTTGTGCAAGAATAGTATATGTTTCTAAATTTCAAGGTGTTTCTAAGTATTCCCTGATAGGAACTCCTGGTAATCCCCAGTTATCCCCACTGGAAGGAGTGTCACAGTGGTACTACTGATTTACACGGGGTTTAATGTTGCCATTTTTGTATCCTGCCAGCAAAGCCGAAGGGGTATACAGTTTCTGCCTTGTTGTCATGAATTCCCTCGATAATGAAAGGAAACACTGCAGAGCCATATTATTTATCCTTTTGACATTATATTTTTCTCTTTGGATTAGCTTTTTTTGTTTAGTCACTGTTCTCCCATGGTCCAAGCTTTGAACTGAGACAGGACAAAAGCAATCACGGTTTTACTCTAAAAAACATTTAGAAACAACCGCGAAAGGTGAAAAATATTAGTATTGGCCACACAACAAAGAAGTACGGAAACCTCCTGGAAACATGGTTAATCTCAAAACAAGGTTGTGATAGCTGAAACTTGGCGAATGGAAACCATTGCACCAAGTTGACCTTTTCTTTTCATCCTTTTATAGTATAAATGGCTCAGAGTAACCAGCAGTCGCGAACACGGCCCCCACGGCGGTAGTAAACCACGCCGGCGCACAAAGACACTGAATAGCAGCTTTGGCCGTAAGACCACCATCCGGGTCACCAGTGGGCCCTCTTCTGCACCCAATCGCCCCAGGAGCAAGTCGTCTGGCGGGGATGGCATTTCGGTCCACGTGATGAGGGTGAACCGAGAGCCCGAGGTTGTGGTCCCAGCTGTCACCAAGCCAGGGCCTGGGTTTGTCCCCTGGAGAACGGCAGCCAGAGCTAGCCAGAGGAGGTAGATTTCAAGGCCGGAGCTATAGCACATCACTGAGAATGCGAACTTGCTGTGCACCAGTGGTGCACTTAGCAAGGTCGGAGTGCCTGAAACAGGGAGTTCAGAAACCAGAGATCTTTACTGGACTCACTACTCAGCAAAATCACCCCTCTATATGTACTCAATATGTACATACGTGTTCCCTTATGTATAAAACTGTAGAAGCCCAGCAGGTTTTCGCATCCAGTGCAATACAGTAATGGTGTTAACTCTGGCTTCTCTCTCAATCCTCGCCAACAGCATCTGTATCTTGATTGACTGAGAGCTAGCAACCTGGCATTCTTAATTTGGCATTCTGTAATGTGCCAAAAGTACTACACTCTCTGGAACCAAATACCATGCCCGTAGCAACCAAGTTGCTATACTCAAAACAACTGATATTGCCCACAGGTGTGTATTGTGCATATTCCCACATGCTAGCACTACTGAGCTGGGGCCAGACATTTTGTGAAGTGGTTGTAAGAAGAGTGCTAAAAGATTTCCAATAAGTTTTGTATTAAAACAGTAGGATATTTTAATTGTGTTCATATTGATTTAATTGATTAAAATCAGTTTGGTGCAGCAAAAGAAACCTCCCTTGGTGATCCCTGGAGCATTCTGTTTTGCCCCGGGTAAAATAGAATGCTTTATGGATCAACTCAGTAGGCTAGTTTTACTACACAGTTCGAAGTAATGTAGTCAGTAATTGTATACTGAAGATGATATAATTCTTCTTTAACACATTTTGTTCACAAGGATTCACACAGACGAGCACCAAAATCAAGTGGACTCTAGCCCCAGCTCCACCCCAAGCAAGTCCGCAGCATCCATCCACGTCCACGCAGCAAGCATGCTGTCCTCTGGAGAGTTAGACACCAGCAGCAAAGACACAGGCACGCCGGCGACAATGATGTCTAGCATAAGGGACTTGGGCAATGAGAGGGGCGTGGCTGACCAGAGAATGATGCGGGAGATGCAGGTGAATGAAGCCTCTTCAATGTAATTGGGTAGACAATTGCTATCCTATTGGGCTGGATGATAGCTCTTACAATTTTTCAGGTTTTGATCTATAACCATCTTCAGAGGTCAAATCATACAAGGGCAGGATTTGAGCTCAAGCTATAGTTTGACCACGGGTTAAACTGCTTCTTAGCAGTGTACGCACACAAGTCCCACTTGGACCACCTTAGTCGAAACATTTTGCCAATATCCATCATCACTCACATTTTAATGTTGGTTACATCCGCTGTTATGTTCATGGGCTCTGCCATCTTGCACAATTATTTCTATGTCCATGGCCGTCTCTGCAATCAATCACAACAAAAGGCTACTGATAGCTAGCAATGCAACAGTGCCCCAGAGTTTGGTTCCACATGGCTGACTGAGATGGTCCAATCGTCCACTATTCAAGCCATGCTAGGTGAGCTATGGTCAATTATGTTTGTTGGCCAGCCTCACCACAAATTAAAACTATCGGATTTCAAAATGATACAACAGTTGAACCATACCAATGTGGAAATATTATCGCAAAATTCAATGAAATGTACATGTATTGAACAGCTGTAATCAAACCGTGGCTCAAACTTCTTGCAGGAATGCAAAAGGCAAATCAGGAAAATCTCTGAGATGGTGCAGTGCTTTTTTGTTGCAGTCTGTACTTGTTACTCAGAAGATTTGATGAGGTTAGATTTGAGATGGATTTCTGACATCTCTCTTGCCCACCTCAGATTGAGATAGAGGAGCTCCATCGCAGGCTGTATATCGAGAGCCGAGCCAGGGCGGCAGCCGATGCGCGGGTGGTGGAGCTGGAGGTGGCCAACAGCCGGCTGCAAAACCAGGTGCAGCTGCTGCAGGCGCGCTCGCCTGCGTCCCCACTGCGCCGGGCTGCCGTGGTAGTCCAGCCAGCAGGGCCGCAGCAGACGACCACCATGAACCAGCTGGAGGACGAGAGCGTGCTGGACAGCATAGAGGAGTCCTTTGCTAAGTTTCACGGGTTCCTGGACCTGCTGAGAGAGGCTGGGTAGGTAATGTAACCTGACACTTGAGGCAACTGCGTCATCGGTCTCCATTTGAACGAGTGGTGAGGTCGTGAGGTGAAATCTATTAAGCTCACACATGCCAAGATAGGGAGTTGCAAAGTCTTTCAAAGTTGCCAGCATTTGCTATGTTTATCTTTATATTTCTCTATGTGTTTAAGTAGAGACAGTTGCAGATGTTATCACATATATTTATTGCGATGATGGCATGTGCATTGCCGAACAGAGGGAGCAGAAATCATTGGAATAGATAATCTGCTCCGAGCAGGAACAAAAGAGGGCATTTGGAAATGAAATGGACAGTTGTTTGGCATGCACTCACTGCACAGGCACACAAGTTTTTGCATGTTTGACGCGCAGCACACTGAGTACGTGCAACAAATTTAGTCTGGAATATATGGTCTTCGTGTGCGAGCAGAGCGCATGCAAGAACCTGGTTGGAAAACTTGTACCACCTGTCTTTCTTTCGCCAGTGAGGGTGCACTTCAGCTCAGGGCAGATTGCATTTGACAGCGAACCTGCTATGGAATTACATGTAATACGTATTTATACTAATTAACGTACCGGTGATGAAAATATTTCTCAGTTGCTTTATTTCATTCGTACCCAATTTAGTGGCTTATTGTTGCCATGATTCAAGAATTATACTTCAGCTCAACTTCTCTCAGGAAAGTAAAACTTGTGGTTTTAGCCCGTCAGTGAAAACAGATAAAATGGGTGACACAAAACCTGTTACATTTTCAAACTTGATAATTCTTTTTAAAATTAAACATTAGGTAAAGAATCTCATGTTGTGCCTGGTTGCGTTTTGCCCTTACCCATCTCCAGTCTTGGTCAGCTATGTACGCTGGTGGGGACCAGCCCAGAGGAGATCCGTAACCCTCAAGTGAGGTCAATCCTTCAGCAGCACCAACCGACAGCCTACAAGCATTACCCTATGGGACTAGCACCACTAGTGTCTCATTATGCACCCCAACCTTCCTACCAGGAACCCCGAGCCCCACACGAGACCCAAGGAACACTGCCGTCTGCAGAGATGACGGACATAGTGTCTACCTCTGCCGATGCTCATCCCAAGTCCAGGCAGGTGATTGTGCATGCCCCCCTTGTGCCCCCACAAGAGCAGGACAGTCCGAGTCAGTCTGATTCCGTGCATGTTCAGACTGAAACACGCAATCTGCCAGCAGTGGATTCCAGACCTGTGGTTCTTCACCCTCCCCTCTTGGAGCCGTTGGACCGCACCACGGAGTCCGTGCTGGCTGCAGGCAGACAGCCACAAACCCAACAGCAGACTGGAGCTGACCTTGACCAACAGAACCATGCTGATTTTGACAAGGAGCTTGAGAAGCCCCACATCGAGTTCACCGGTAGAGGCACTGGGTCATCCGGAGATGCTGGGATCAAAAGACCCACCGATGAAGCAACTGACAGAGCTAGGACTCACGTCAGAGCTCCTGTCATTCCTGAACCCCAAGCTGAAGATACCAAGCAGCAACAACATTCCGACCAAGAGCTTTCGGGTCACAGTTTGGCAACAAGTCATAGTCACAGCCACAGGACGTCCACGCCGGTGAGAAGCAAGGACACTCCGCCAGCATCCGATCATCCTGCTTCTGCCACCTATTCCATTGATGAAGATCATGAAAGCCTTGGATCGCCTGTACCAGAGGAATTGGATGGGTCATCAGAGGACCTGTTCATGGATCTACCAAGGCCCAGTAAAGGTGTGCCAAGCAGCAAACCAGGTAACAACAATGACAAGGGTTTCCGGGGAGATGATGAGTATAGCAGTGATGAAGATTTCTAGTGAGACACAAGGATTTGACTTCCTGAAAGTGCGTCAAAACAGTCACAACCGGTGAAAGAAACACATTCAGTGTGCTTTTATGCAGCGGTGCATTGAAACCTGGTTGTCAAAATGGTACTTATGATTTTTTGTTTAAAACGTGCTGTTTCAATTTTTATGTAATTTTGAATTTTTACCATACTTGAATAAATCACTTCATTTTTCATTTTCAAAAGAAGTTCTCCTAAAGCAAATTCTGATGAATCCAGGCTTTCTGTACAGATGAAAACAATTCAAATTTCATGCTCTTTGAACTCCTATTGTCTACTCGAAACACTTAAGCAACACACTACACATTTTCATAAATGTTTTGTGTTAAAAGTTTTAGGTTCCTTCTGTGATTAGTCAGAAATAAAATAAACAGCACCAAGAGAAGAGCTTAAGGCATTATGTGACCTCGTCCTCCATTGTCAACCTTAGTAATGATGTCAAAATAACATCTGAAAGATACAGTCCATCACTTGCAGCTATCCTAAATTATTGCTTAAAAGAATACTTGGTTTAAAGACAGTCAATGGACAAAACACCCTGTGAATTTATTCCTTCTGGCAAGCTGTTATTTTGAAGAAAATGAAAAAAGGCCATTTCCAATGATGCGCTTAAAGATGCCTTTTTGGCAATTGCCATTAGTAGTTCCTTCTGAATTTGGGCATGCGTTGCCATGGCACACACACATATGCATGTCCCAAGTGCTGAATTCACGCACGTTCAAACGTGATTCAGCAACGTTTGATTTGAAATCGAGATCCTGCAGTATTGTTTTTTTTAGGTATATACAGCATTCACTGGCTGAAAACATTATCAAGTTAGCTGCTCGGTACCCTTCTTTAGATCTTGAGCACGTCTGTTTCCTCAAATGAACATAATGCAGAGATGACAAATGATAAATTTTACCTTTAAGAATTCTGTAACTTACAGCCAGATTGGATGATGCCTCATGTAATGACAGTCAGGAACTGCACCTATTGTAGTGTACATCACCTCTGACTTATACTCAGAAATATAAACATTCAGTATGTGTATTCATGCTTAAAAAGCAAGCCTCTAGCAATTCTGAAATGTGACCGTACGAGGTGTCCTTCATGTTTTTGTACCTGTATGAGCACATCACGGTCATGAGGGTCCAACCACCCAAATAACGTTCAGATTTGGGAAACATGTTTCTGACACATAAACCAAATCAGAGTTTTATGTCCATATTTTCAAACTGCTTTTACTGGGAAAAGTTTCCCCCGCCTTTACATCTGAAAAAATACAACAATGGTCTTTTATGAAACATACTGAATTGTAAGTCCAGAATGGTCATGAATTCCATTCAATATGGGGTGAAATAATGAGAAAAAGAAAAAATGCAAGTGAATATAAGTTTCTTGATGGCGGTGTTTTTTTTCATGATAATTTTCAGTGGAAAATCAATTCTGCTTGCAGCAATCAAAGTTACCGTGGTATGACTTGTGCTTTACTCAATACCAAAGTCCTCTCAAAGTCCAAGTGCACATTACTGTAACACATTTGTACTACATTTGTATACTCTGACATTCCTTTGCCACAGTAAATATTGTCTTTTATTAATGTATGTTAACTGAATGTTGGTCAGGAAAAGTGTTAATGCCTTTCACAGACCTCCCAACCCTCCCTTTTTTGGCAGATAAATTTCCACTTTTTCACTGTTTCTGCCATTCTGATTACGCCTCTAAATTTTCTGCCAAATCACAATTTTGACACGTCTACGTGTATGTATTAACCAGCAACTGTCCATGCAATCTTGTGCATGTACCGTAATACGACTTATCCAAACAGTCAGTGCAGTGCATGTTGGGCGTGCCAGGTCCGTGGGAGCACCCTCTTTTAATGTGTACCAGTCGCGAGATGGATGTGATTATGGACAAAAACACTCTCTTTTGTAATGTAACTAACGTCATTGTAGCTAACACTGTATGCATTGTGTGGCACCTGGTTTCACTAGGATCCACAGCAAAGAATGGTTTGGATCCCAGACTAAGAATTGCTGTGAAATCGACCACGATCATGTCAAGTGTGCAAGCACCCCGTTGTGAATTTTGCGCTGAATTTCATACTGAATTCTCCTGAATTTCACGTTAAATTATTGTGGACCATTTCAGATGATATAAACTCATGCCATGTGGAAATCAAAATGTTATGGAATCAGTGAGTACATACAGTACTGTACATCATCACGAACCCGGACTCACCTCTTGTACAACGCAGCACTGACTTGTCCTTGTTCATGGTAATATGTATAATATTCTGAATTTTCATGAAAAATTCTGAAGTTTGGGGAGGATTCTAGATTCTTGATAGCCAATGTTGGGAGGTCTGCTTTCAAAACTTGCTTGAAATTAAAGAGTTCAAGTTTATCCCCAGGTTCCAATGTTAATTCATTTAATTTGTGCTGTACTTGGCAATCAATACTGGTGTCCAGCCAAATTTCACGAAATGAACTGTATGTGACTGGTTCACTGCCAGGTTTTTTCCCTAACTTGCTAAGCTGCAGATTCTGCTTGCAGCTACCGGTAGATGCTTTGGGTGCTGAGGTCTCCAAAGCATGTCATTCCCTTCAGACATTCAGCAAGCAGATTACCTCTCTGATTGGATGAGTTCCATCATCAGCTGAACCACCGTTTCGTCTGAATTCACCCGCAAAAAAAGGAAAAAAAAGGATGATGTACTGAGCATTCCAATAAATGTCAGCGTGGACAAAAAGATTTTAAATTTGGATACAAACCTGCCTCCTGGATACCATATAAATTGTTCTACCTACTGGAATCATCCATTCCCACACATATTTTTAACTTAATTTGGTTCTGGTTAAGTGTCTTGTGTGCATACTCTATTGAAAATCTATTTGTTCTCTATTTCTTAAGCATCCAATTGCTCTGATGTCATCAAAACCAATGGTAATGTGTAAATCAAAGCAGTTCAGGGTAATGTGAAATGAACTGCATTGTAGATCATATTTCAACGCAACATTACGTGCAACAGCAGCTGATTTCATGAAACTTCATGCAACAGTATAACCATACCGGTAATGCCAAATGTTGTGGCGTATGCTGCACAATAAATTGGGAGTGAGTTCATGAAACTTATACACTGTGTAACTCTGCGACTTGCTTAACAAATTATGGCCTAAGTAGTGCCAAACAAAGTGAAAATGAATGATACGACTAACTCATCGTGTTCAGTGAATGCTTATCATTGCTAAACTTAAGGCTTGTAGGAGAAATGAACAACTTTGTTTTAGAAGGAAAGGAAAACCTTGTTTTGCTGTGAGAGAACTTTGAGAATTTTTGTCTGGTTCCGATGAAACAAACACGAAAACCTTTTCAAAATGGCGGGCAAAGGTGATTTGATGGCTGTTTGATGACTGCTATAATATTGTAAAGGAAAAGCTGAGATTGTCCTGTGGCACGCATTTGTGGTGCAAGGCTTATGCGTAGTTCAGAGTTATGCCACATTTCATGAAATCGGCTGCAGGACGTTATCTATTTGGCCTCAAACTGGCTGTCGATTCACTAGTGAAACTTAGGGTGCAGTTGTACCCCATCGATGTCTGCGTGCATGCAGTCTTACCTCGAATCTTTAGGCCCGGCTGGGATAGCTTCCTCACTAGCGTGGAGTTGAGCAGGTTGCGTAATTCTTTGAAGATGACCGCTGTTTTAGCAGGGGCCTGGACAAAAGAAAGAGAAATAAAAGTTGTCTTTCCTCGCCTTCCACTTCTGCGGTCCGGGTTCAAATCCTGGCGTGGTCCACATGTGGATTGGGTAGGATCAGTTCCTACCTGATTCTGTGGCTTTTACCCAGAATATTCCTCTGGGGTTTTCCTCCCAGTTCTAAAACTGTGACTGCTTCTCATTGTCTCCTCTCTACAGGTTTCTTCAGGCTTGCGAGCTACAGTGCCTCGGGCACTTTTGAGTAATCCTTGGTGTCATTACCAGAAGTAATAAATAACAAGAAATTTCCATCACTCGGCTGGTATCCTGTATCTACTGTAAACCACACTTATTTGTTTATTTTGCCATTTACAAATATTCTTCATGTTCGAATGTTACACTGGTGATAGTAACAAGTATACAAATGAAAGAGACAAGTCCTCTCACTTTTTACAGACTAGCTCCTGTCCCTCTCCTATGGGTCACAACATATTGGCAAAACTTGGAACCATGCTGTATGCCACTTAAGCCCTCGCTGCCCATGTATACATAGTGTCCCAAATATGAACAGATGTCCAGTAATGTATATCTCTCCACAAGCACGATATATATGCATTGGGTTTGCAATTGAAATCGTGAAACAGAACAATGAAAACGTTACCTGGAATTTAATCCATTCGTCCACGGTGATAAGTTTCTCCCTGTGTTGGACTGCCAAAGCACCACCGAATAGCAACAACGGGTATGCCGACACCAAGGTGTTGTCTCTTATAAACACTCGGGATAACTTCACCTGCAAACAGAACAATGCTGGGCTGGTGATACTTATACTCCCACTAGGAGCTTCATTAAAAAATCTCAGCCGTTTATAACCAGTAATTGACCTGTGACACAACTTACATCTGCTCAAACACCTACGAGCTTGAAGGAACTTGATTTGAAAGGTGGTAAAACTATCTTCCAAAACCCGACAGTCCTGCTTCCCCACTGTACAATGCAATTTTCATGGCTATGGTTAACAGTGGTGTGACTAACGACCCTTCCAGATTAAAAAAACTCTATCTACCAATAGGTTTAGAGAAAGTTGCAGGATTAAGGAAGACAGAGCCTTGTCAGTTTTACTTTGAGTGGAGGAAGGTAAAACATGGACAATGTTTCTTTAAGAGGAGCTACATGTTGAAAATTGATATACACAAAGAATATGCCGCTTTCCTACACAGGGATGATTTTGAAGGATTCAGCAAGGTTTTCGGTTGAAAAGACAAGGGAGTCAAAGAAAATACATTAGCAATTCCTTAGATATGGGATCCCAAGTGGGACATACGCCACAAGTTAAAACTGCCCTGTCGTGAGCACTTGATGTTCCATGACACATGGAGTTTACACAAATAAAAGTGTGTGTTGCTGCTTTATTTTGCATTTAGAGTTCAAAAATTTTGAGTTGCATAATGTTTAGCTGAGATGGCCTCAATTTTTTACATCATTACATAGTCTAATGGACACAGTAGCACATGTGATGATGCACAACTGTGAACAAGGTTCTAAAACTGGCGCATTTCCTGGTTGATTGTCCCTTTTCTGCTGAATTTGCAAAGTACAATGTCTTAAAATACTGGGAATGTGTGTGAAGGATACGATTCTGGCTTTATTGCAAGTTTTCTCATGTTGTCCCATATTGTGGTTTCTCATGTATCAAACCCGGGCACAGAAAGTTACAGTGGGATACTTGATATTGCCGGCAGCTGGGCTTAAATCTAGCTATTTTGATCTCAAATTTGTTTTCTCACAAAAGGTTTATGACCACAAGCTTTCTGTCAAAAACCTAGTTACACAAAAACATATGTGTACCTTTTTTTCTAAAAGTAAAACTGTGGCTTGGCAGTTTATTGAACAAGCCCATCAAAGGACACTGAAAGACCTACATAAACATGTAAGCTATTTGAATTTGAAATTGATTTGTACATTTGTGAGTGTAGTAGAACATGTGACAGATGACATACCTTTTCGATGTACAGCAGCCAGCCATTGGTCAGTAACTCTCGGTTGACAGAGGCTGGATGGACTGCCACGTTTCCTTTGGTCGTCTCGGCCAGGCAGATCTTCTTGGGTTCCCGCGCTCCCTCAATGGGCTTGCTGTAGGTGGTTTTAGCCACATTAGGGTACAGGCCGGCCGTCAGCGCGGCCTTCAGGAGGGCTACGTTCCCGTGGGTCAGCGGGAATTTGGGCCCCTTGGGTTGCACCTTGCTGATCTCCAGCACGTCACCTGGGGTATGGGTGTGGCCAAGTGAGGATCTCCTTGCACGCTGGAAAGGCACAACGTCAGTTGCCAGACTATCGTCGAAACCAATGGACTGGATTAACTTAATCAGATCATTCTTGACATCCTTAAAAAAGGTAAGGAATCAATTCAAGAGTTGAGAATCATATCAATAAAATTCTAATGAAATCACACAGTATTTTGGTAAATCAGAATCTCAGACTGTCTTCCTTTGACTTGAGACTTGGAAACAAAACACCTGATGGTTCTATGGATTTTCAGGATTAGCCAGATACTTTTCATGAGATACGATGACATACGTTTGTTACCTTAATTGATAGCAGTGTGGTTCTACTGAGGAAATTGTGGTAACAGTAAGACATCTCGGCAGCTCTCCCTCGTTCTGCTGCCTCTTCCCACCTGAGGACAGTCAAAATGTCATACAAAGACGGAGTACTTCAACTTGGCTGAACTATTTAGCTTTTGGATTGTGGATTGTTTTTTAAAGAAGGCAACGTCAATGTCAAGTAAAGCTCATTTGCAATTGTGCTCAGCCAAAGTTCTGTCTACATGGGTTGGTCAACAAGGAAACTGGCGAGAGGCAAGTGGAACATTAGAGACATCAACACTTTTCTGGCTGTGACGTGATACTGTCAACAGTCATTTCATATTTATGTTTTTTCCAACACTGCCACTGCAATAATCATACATCCAGGAAACAAAACAAGTCAAAAAAATAAACCCAAAATAAATTTTAGGATTTTTCCCAAATGGTAAAAAGTCTGTGGTACTGTTATCTAAAAATAAGAACAGTATGGCCTTGGGTGGATAGAGGGCAATATAGTGTAGATACCCCGGGGAATCTGTTTCATTCCATTTTGTCAGTTAGTAGTGTATGTATGCTTTCTTTATTTAGGAAACACTCTCTGACAATATTTGATAGAGCTGGGAAGAAAGCAAATAATATTAATATCTGGTGTTGCTTAAGCAGTCATGCAATGAGCCTCATGCATGACTGATCTGACCAACACCAATTAGGTCAGAAAAGAACAGAGAGATCTAAAAAAGTTTAACTCCTTTTACCAATGCATTTTTATCACTGCTTTTACTCGCATTCTCATGTATTTACCCTTAGTCAAAAGCTCAAGCATGCAAATCATGCTGTTTGTTTCAGGCTTCAGTTCCACTGCAGTGCTACAAATTTTAGTATGCTTGCCAGGCTTGTGACAGGACTCACCTATAGCACTAGTGTTTAAACTGTGTGTTAAGCGTGGCTAACTTTCAACTGAATGACCATAAAAACACTCATGTCAGGAGAACTCACAAACTTGCCTGACATTTTGGAAAGCTTCCCAACGGTGCCCAATTTTTTCATAATTTAACCACTGAGGGAACAGTTATGCAAAAAACCCACGGCACTGTGAAAGTACTATCTCATTACAACGCCACTGTTAATGACCCACATTTATTCATTACACCTGTCTTTGTATTGATGACTGAACTCTCACCCGGCATAGACCTTGTACACAGTGATATGGTCTGAGTGGGCTATGGCCAAGGCCTTCTTGGCTAAGTCTGCCTGCTGTCTTTTGCCCATGGGCACAATGAAGGGTTGCTTGTCTGTCATGGCTGCTGCAATCACAGCCTGTTGGCACCAACAAAAAGCAGTGACAAAACGTGCACCAAGTGGATAATGCATGCCAAGCACATAGATTCACACACTTCCGATTGACACAAATTTCCAGGGGTAAAAATTTGTTCCACAGAATTGAGCAACTCTCTCTATAGTGAGGCTAGATATTATTAGATTTGGCAGGGTCAAAGCAAGGTGTGGGTTTCAAAGGAGTAATCACAATGCCTGTGCAATATGATTCACAAGTGCATATGAATCACAGGTTTTTTTTAGGTTGTCAGGTCAGGTGTGCAAAGAGTTAAGAAGTCCATGGGCAAGGCTCAGCTTTCAATCATCATTTGTTCTCAAAGATGAAACCTATTCAAGGAAAATTATGAACAGTGACAAAAGAATGTGTTCAATGCAGTTTATTTGAAATGCTTGTGGCTTTAATTCTGACCAGATCTGGTGATGATCTTGTGGGGTCTTGTTAAAGTCTTAACGGGTCTTGACTGAAACACCGGTAGTGTTCAAAAAGGGACAAGAGACGCAAAAGTTAGAGTTGGTTCAAAATGATTTTCAAGTTCTGAATTGCGACTGGTCTTGTGAACGGTCTTACGTCTGGTCTCAGCTACAACGCTGGACACCACACCTTTTTGTTACCCTACTAAAACAGCTCTAGGAAGCTCCCTTCCAAATTAGGCAGGTGCCCTGTAAAGCAACAGCCAACTTCGTACAAATCTTCAACAGGCACTTAGGGAAGCTGACACACACTGCCCTGCAGTGGCACTCACCATGGGCTCCAAGCAGCCAAAGATGGCAGCAAACAGCAGCATCTTCCCTACCCTGACATTGACAGGTAGGGCAGCCAGGTGCTGCCCAAGGGGAGTCAAGGAAGGCGTGTCAATCTTGCACGCCCCTACCTCTCTCAGGAGGCTCATAGCCGCCCGTATGGTGTTGAGTTGAGGGGCGTCCAGGCATTGTTGCAACAAATCCTCCGGGGAACCAAGATTACACTTCTGAAAGAAATTGACATTTTTAACACATACAAGTGAGACATAACATGAAAGTCTACAATACCCAGTCTACACAGTAAACCTCAAAAACATCTAGCACTATACAATAAGACTATATACAATTAATTTCTCATTAATCCTAACAAAGAGAACATGTTTACTTAAATCAAAAGTTCAGGGTAACTTTTGTGAGGTCTTGGAGAATCATTTAGGCTAAGCTTGGATTGCTGGTTGTTTATTTCATGAATATCAACAAAACAGAAGGAAGACTTAAAAGTAGACGTAGTAGGAGCCCCATACAGAATTAGTCCACAGGGTTTTACATCACTGCACAGACAAATATTACCTACCATAATGTGGAGACAGAGATCTTCAAGGGGAACCCTCAGGATCTCGGGCGGTGAGAAGGACTTGAAAGATTCATATCTGACATACAAAATAAGAAAGACACGGGTATTCAATAAATGTCGGTCACTTTCTGAGCCTGATAAAAAGGAAAGTTGTCCCCTCAAAAGCATGAAAGCGTATTTTCCCTGTTTTAAAGGTTCAGAATGTCCACTGTGTTATTTCAAATATACAGCCCGTCAGCTTTGGGCACGGGAGGGGGTTAGACAGTACCAGCTAGAGGGGGAACATCAAAAGAACAATAGATAACTGTGATGCTTGTGGGTTTTTTTTGGGGGGGGCAGCTTCCTGCAGGGGGGCTGGCCCCTGTGCCTGCCCACCCCCTTGGCAATGTGCCTGCAAGCATATTCACTTTCCTTTTTCCCAACTTTGCTGGGAAAAAGCCACTTTCATGGCACACTTTCATGGCACACTTTCATGGCACACTCACTGTTTTTTTGTGTACAGCCTGAAGCAGAATCCCTCTCTAACCCTGCCAGCTCGGCCCTGTCTCTGCTTAGCGCTGGCCTTGCTGATGTTGGTCTCTACCAGGGCACTCAGCTGACTCATCTCGTTGTACCTGCAAGAAGGTTATTGTCTTGTGAGCTCAAAACCCTCATGACCATCAGCAATTTCATCATATCAGCAGCCTAAATCAGCATATTAAGGTCACGCACTGAGGGCCATCACAGACAATATGGCTTTAAAGACACATTCCAATAAGAGATGAAAATATGGCTCCAAATTTAAAAATCGTGTTTGTCAAGATTTAGTACGGTCAAATTAGTTAACAAAATTCACTGGTGACAGCAATAGAATTTGAAATTTGCAAGCAGGACATTCATTCAAATCAAAGCTTCCAAAACAATTCAACACTGCAATACAAGATGACTAAAAAATCATGATCTCAATGAGCACAGTATTACTTGTTCTTACATCAGAAATTATAAAACCACCTCAAAATTAAAAATACCCGGGACCAAATTGTTTCAATTCATTTCCAGTGTTACTAGTCTGTAAGCATTCAAATCAAATGTCTGGTGTCATGAATATCAAGAAGAAATCTTTAATAGTGTAAAGATATCTTGTGGGTGGCAACCACACGTATTCCAAGTCTGACGGAGAAGTACTTGAATTAAACAACCTGTTAAAGTTCAGTGGACACATTTATTTTCAAAATTTGACAATTCTTCAAAACACACTATTTTTATATCTTCACTGACCTTGTTTCTTTCACTTTCCCCGAGTCAATTACAAACACTGCGTCTGGGATGGTGATCCCTGTCTCAGCTATGTTGGTGGCTATGACGACCTTGCGGACTCCAGAGGGCGGTATGTCAAACGCTGAGCTCTGATCCTCCGAGGACAGCACTGAGTGCAATGCCAGTATCCTGTACCTGGTGGAAGAAGGACAAGACAGATCCCGATGAGTTTTTTAGGAATTTTAGTTCATAAAAATCCACTTTGTAGTGGACAGAAAAGATTAAAAATCAGTGAGTTCTGCCTCACTGGAGGAAGCTGCATAGCCTTCTAATAAGAAATGAGCTAGGCTTCCAGAATTTTCAATGATGAAACAGCTAAACCTATCTATGTTTGTCAAAAGCAAATCTCTCCCACAAACAGTGCACAGCAGATGCGGCCATTTTCACCTGAATGAGTACAAAAGGTTATAGATTTAATATTAATAGAAGAGTGAGAGCACCATGCGTCATTACAGGCACAAGACAAAAGTTAACTGCAAAGTTGGTCTGAGTCTGCAAATTGAGTCTGACTTCAGTGGCTCACAAAGACAATGACCCAAACACAGACAAATATTTTAATAAAAGCAATCAACTGAAGACTGAAGATACCATAAAAATTTGAACACCCCAACTGACATACCTCAATAAGGAAAATAAACTGGTATATCGAAGTTTTAAAAGAACTTACTTGCTGGTTGGAAATCTGGAATCGCTCTGCAGGAGTTCATACAGTTCTTGGATGTCAGCTAGTCCTGGCATGAAGACCAGCACTGCACCATCTATGCTTCCATAGAATGGGTCTTCACCCAAGAAGTGGATTAACTCCTGTAAGCAGCAGATTGAAATCAACTAGTTTGATAAGCAAACATTTTTGCACTTAGCAATTTTTTTCCTGAGCTTAGATTATTTAGCTCATTGAACTTTGCCCTTGAATGCCCACACATTTACATGCTTAGAAATTCATGTGAAGCTGTGATAGATTTATCAAGATTGAAATTTCTGGACTAGACAGCTACACACAATCAGTATTACGTCAACAGATCTCTCTCGACCGATGAAAGACTGTACTACAAATGGGGAATAAAAACTGCCAACTAGATGTAAACTTTCACAACACAGCAGGGAAGTTTATAAGAGTTGATGAACACTGCACAAGTGCCTCAGTGCAATGGGTCCTCATGTGAAGATGTCATAGGTTTGCCTACACTTGGATTATTGGTACCCTGGCCCTTCAGACTTTGCAACGCACCCAGTACCTTTGAGCGCTGTATGGAGCTCGTTCTCAAATAGCATGTAAAAGTTGCAGAGGAGCAGAGCGTCAGCCCCGCCGGCAGTAGAGATTACCTAATATGAACAGAACCAGACAGTTAAAACAAAAATCACACAAACTTCCTCACCATGATGAGGTCCATGTTGATCCGGTCCCAGTTTAGTCTGGTCAAAACTTGCCTGGTTCTCTTGCTGTAGACATCTGGGTTCAGACCACTCTGAGAAATGGATTTGTCATATCAAAAATTGATTGCCCTACTTCATTCCATGCCAACATTAGGAATGAAAAACGTCAAAACTGTACATGAGTGCTTGTGATTTTCCAGTCTTGTCAAAGTCCACTTTAAGAATAAAAGACTTTTGAGACAAGTTGTGAGTACAAATTCCAAATAATATTCAAAGTTGATTCCCCTTCCTACCTCATCAAGAGTAGATATGTCCTGTGTGTCCCAGCTCACCTGAGGATGAAAGTAACGAAATCAGATTTGAAAGTACGGTGACAATGAAAGAAACTATGGAAATGCAGGGGGTGGAACTCACGCACTGCTCATTTCATATTCATCATTTGTGGAAATAACATTCAATACATCTCATCATTCTGCAAATATCACAAGTTGTATACATAATGACACAAATGCGGTTCTTATCATCTTCTAAATATACCAGGCACAAAGCTACGAGTGTATGAAAATGAGCCAGTTCCCTATAAAAAAAAAAGCAATGTCATATGGGAACAAAGCTAGCACGAGTCCACCTAGGGCTGCATTGATTGTGCAGACCTTGTACGTGCATCCAAATGACCTTGGACACGCTTCATTTGGAGCATGCACTGTTGGAATATCAAACCGGCCCATTGTGATTATGCAGAATGCTTCATTAAAACTGTACATATTAATGACAATGCCAAATCTGCCCAGTGAATGTACATTTATGAATATAGATGCAAATTGTTGCTGTGCAGAAAGTAGCTCGCAATATGCAAATAAATCAGAAATCAGAGAGTTGCATGTTATGAATATGCAAATTAGGTTTATGAAGAAAGTCGCCCAGGCTTTCATGAGTATCCCTCCTAAAAGTAACAACAAAGTGGAGGTGCAAGGAGCCAGTCTATGATATCATACTAGACACTTGACATCTGACTGTCAATATCTCAGCTTCGCTTACTTGAACATCCTTTGTTTGTCCACCTTTGCCTGTCACAGACACTGTGGTGTGTTCTTCCTGTGTCAGCGATTCATACCTCATAGCGTAAGGGGAGTCACTATCTAGAATGTACTTGGTCTGTTCTACCATGTCCTCTATGTGATGCACCTAAAATAGATAAGGTAAAACTTGAAAAACTGCATCAAACATATGAACATTTCCACTGATGTCCATTCATGCCAATAAACAAAGCAAAATCATTATGACTGTATCATTCAAAGTGTCTTTGACGGACGACGAAGTCATGGAATCAAATGCATGGTTTCCAATGGGTGAAGAAGACACACACACAGTACAGGTTTTATATGACAAATTGAAATCCTATAATGGTATTTGGTTCCTACATTGCACAAATACAAGTGTCCTCTGACTTAGTGCACTTTGATTTCAACCAGGATTGTCCTCTTTTCGTTCTGTTAACCATTTGCTGCCGGGTGGAATTTGAAGTTGCATGACGTAAACCCGGGCCATTTTCAAGATTTGCCGTTTTCAAAATTCTTCAAAAAATCATAGCTTCATTTACTGGATGTTTACACCCACACGAATAACTGTCTGGTAACTACTCTAATCTCACAGACAACATCTATTGACGCTTGAGTATATCAGCCAGGCCTGCCGCTTTGCAAAAAAAGAGCCCAGATTGTGCAGTGTTATGTAACTTTCTTTTGTTCCCGAAATTGGCACTGTACGCTAATGGCGTCTTTTCAATGGGGTCCAGATTAGCGTACAGCGGTAGGTATCGCTCATCACTGGAGGGCGTTTGTCCCCGGTGGTAATCCGCTCGTGCTGAATGCCACAAACAGTGGCATAATCTCTCTCAAAAAAGGACGGATTTCATCTGCAATTAACAACTGAAAAAAATGTTGGCAAATCCAAGCAGCTCGGTCTTTTGTTCCGAGTACGGTCTTTTGTTATAAGGCCTGCCTCTTTTGTCTGGTTTCGGGCTCCCTGGTTTTGTGTTTTAAGCCTATGTGCTTGACATGGGGTTCACCCGGCAGCAAGTGGTTAAGAATTATAATAATAATAACAAACACCTACAAAGTGTCATCTATCTAGCAAACTGTTCCGAGGTGCTGTGTTATCATTGTCCCCGCACATTGCGCTCACATTATCTGAACAATTTCTGAAACCATCTCAACTCCCTGGGGAGTATGCCTGGTGCTGCCGTTTCGGCGCAAACGGCTAAACATAACCGTGTCTGCCCTCACAGGTACCCATTTACTCCTAGGTGGAGAGAGCCTCACAGGGGTAAAGTGACTTGCCCTGGACCACAACATGCTGCCACCAGCTGGATTCGAACCCCTGACCCTATGATCAGAAGCTATAAACCCTAACTACAATGTCACATGCCTCCTTCTGTCGCTAAACTTCTTCGGATCTAGGTAAGTAAACCCAAGATTATTAACAGGTATATAGTTACCTCTTTCTAGTTTCACTACTTGTACAATATGGGTGGAAACTACTGCTCAGGAAAAGTGGCAGAGGAACAGACGACTACCACCTTAGTGTCCATGCCTCATCAGTTTGCATTCAATCCATGGAAACTACCTCTTCAGGATGCTTTGAAATAAACCTATGCCAGGTGTGAGCATGAAACCTTACCCGTACGGGGAAGGTTCTGCCAGGAATGCTGACCACTGGACAGTGCTGGAAGTAAGCCGATAGCTTGGCACTCTCCATAGTCGCACTCATCAGGATCACTCTGAGATCCCGCCGCAGCTGAAGAAGGCTCTTGACGATGACCATCAGAAAGTCCGACTGCACACTGCGCTCGTGGACCTAGGGAACAGAAATACAATAATTAATTCCATTTTGAAGGTGTAAATGTATTATTCATGATACTAATAAATTCCCAAAGATTTCAGCTGTGTGTAGAAAAGGGCATTTTGCCTCTGTCAAAGGTGTCATGTACCTGACGTAAACAGACAATGAACGAACAAGTTATCCCCCTAAACATAAATTAGCAAATAAGTAGATACTTCCAAGTCCATCAATTCAATTCAGTTTGGTTGGAGGTGTGTCAGACTTCAGCTAATACAAACCTCATCTACTATAATGTGGCTGATATCTTGTAACTTGGGATCAAGTTGTAATTTGCGTAGGAGCACCCCTGTGGTGCAGTAGAGCAGCCTGGTGGTGGGGCATTGCTTTGACTCCATGCGGATCTGATATCCACACAAAGAATCCTGGAAGAGGAGTAAATAAAAGATTGACTGGGACACTTAGAAGGGGGTAGAAAAGAAATCAAAACACAACCTAGCAGGTTCAGAGACCGATAGTGGAACATTCAATCCACACCTTAATTGATTTGAAGGTACATCTTCCAATTACACCCGAACTTAAAGCACCCTAACTCAAGTAGAGAACAACCCAAGTTCAGCCATGCCAAACAAACTCGACCTGAATACATTTTGGTTCAGCCAAAAACCATACTCAAGCCACTTCACGTCCAAACTCAGCCAAAGTAAGACCAACTCCAACGGGCTTGCTGAACCTTAATCCCAAGCAAACTCACCAACCAAGGTTTGCTCAGTGAGCCCTAACCAAAAACAACTCAAACCAAGCCAATTGGCCCAGCATAGCCAAAACAAAAAGGCAAAAAAGACACTTTAAGAACCCCCCCCCAAAAAACACAATTACCTCAACCAAAACCCTGAGAAACAGAATTTGTTAAGCCCTTTGGAACTGACTCTTTTTAAATCCAATGCATATTCATATCCTTCTATCCCCTAAAATAATCACTGGCGAATCAGTCAAGCTCAAGATTCCTTCATCCTGAAGCCTACTAAATCTCTTATGTCTGAGGTTTTGTTTCATTTTGGAAGGGATTTGAGTTGGTTGGCTAACTGTTAATACCTTGGAGCCTGGTCCCTTTTCAGCCATCTCCTGGGACACCCTTCTAGCTAGACTGGTGGCCGATATCCTCCGCGGTTGGGTACACACAATGTTGGCATGGCCCGTCTTACCTGACATGACCAGGTGCTGTCAAAATGATGTGGGAAAACATGCACTGATCTCTATGTCAACAGTCTGGAGAGCTAATCCGCCAATCTGAGATGTACAAATGAGTAAAGCTATTCACTGGTTCCTGAATGAAATGTGCAGAAGGAACAAGTCTCAACAATCCCCGCCGCTAAAAAAATCTTTAGAATTCTATTGGTCACATAGTGGTAAAATAGAGGACAGTGACTTCACTTGTAATAATCAATGGTCTATCCAGATTTTTTTGAGTGGAGATAGGTGAAAAATCTGTTAACTTAAGCATTTCCTTAATCTGTATCTTGATCAGTGGTCCCAACGCTGGTTCAATCCATCCACTGGGCAGGTCCTGGTGTCAGTGAACCAACAACGGATTACTGATTGAGACAGAAATAACTTTAAATCTACCAAAAACAAAGAATACCAAATAATTTTCCAGATAACTCATTTCAATACCTCCAATAAAAACTGTGGTACTTGGGTGCTCTTTCCGCTGCCTGTTTCTCCAGCCACGATGACCACTGGACTGGACTTGACGTGGCTCAAAATGGCATCTCGATGCTGGTAGACAGGCAAAGTCTGGCGTGTTGCCAACATCTTATGGTAGGCGTCTGATTTCTGAAGATAGAATTAAACATTACTAAGCTCTTTCAAGAACTCCAAAAGTTCTTGAACCTTTTTTTATTTAGCCCAAGAACTCAGGCTGGGACAAGCCATTCCAAAATTGAACGGCCATCAGCTGTTTGCTTTATTGAGGCCTTTGGACATGCTCTGTGTTCATCTATTATGAAAAAGTAACAAATGAATATTCTGCACCACAAGGCTGGTAGAAACAACAATTGGAGATTCTGCAGTGCCTCTAGTCTGTAAAGTCGAAGTTAGCTATCGTTATATCTCATGCATATTCTCATATATTCAGGAGCGCATATCACTTCCATGATCATTATTCCAACCTGTCAAAGAGGCAAAATAGCTTTCTCCAACACAAAATCCTTGTACTAACTCCTTTAGCATCACTATACCTAGAGATATCCAAATTCATGGCTAGTTTGGTTCCCTGACCACTGGTCAACACTCACGCTGCAGCTAGTATCAGTGGTCAGGCATACAAGTATCTCATTTCAGTCTGAAACTACGATAGTGCAAGTGAATTGGAAGACTTTTTCCCTCCATGTACAAAAAAAAACTCGTACCAAAGCTATTCTGAAACTACCGAAACCTTTACTACTAATCTAGAGTTGAGTTAACCACCTCTTAATAACTATGAAAGATAATAAAAGCAAAGAGAGCAAGCTTTATTGTTGTGAGGAAGGACAATATCAGTCCTTTGGCTCGGGCTTATTTGGCCTGGCAATCTTGGCACCTTGCATACTGCAAAGCATAATAGAGTGTTAAGGAGTTGTACTCGCCTGTCTGTGCTGCATTATTGAGCGTAATGTTGTTCCAGTAACTGAGCGCTTGCGTACATCACCGGAGGAGCTTGAGGTACACTGTTTTTCATCCTATATTTGAGAATACAGTCAGAAATAAATTTGCTGTAACTAAAATTGATCGGTGAGATGTGAGGCTTTGGGCTGAGTGTCATTACCTGATAAAAGTGACAAAAATCCAGAGGTAATGACATGCTGGTTCACTTTGCTCCTCTCCGCAACTGACAAAATTTGGCCGTTTTTTTACTATGGAGGTAGCTTAAAGTGAGGGTGTTGCTCATCATGGCTGCCAAGGCTGTTTTTAGCTCCTGTGTTGCTAATTTTTATCGCTTAATATCTCTGTTATTTTAATCATATTTGTACTTTTACTCATTTGGTTTTAAAACTCATTTTTCAAATATGTACAAAAAATTATCGTAACCAATGTGCAATTCGGCCCTTGGGTTGTGAGACTTTGGAATAATAAACCAGATAATAATAATAAAGGTTACTTTGCAAAGAGTGTCAGAACTAATTGGATGCAAATGAATAAACTTTTAGAGGAAATTGGGGATAACATGATGATCCACATGAGTAATCAGTGAGTCAAAATGCAGCACTAGTGGTCAAGCCATTATTTAACTTCAGTTCAACAGGGCAAATATGAATACAAAAACTATGATTTTTACTTATCAGTCAACAGTCGAATGCATAAAAATCAAACTTTTAAACTCAGTACATGCAACTCACCACATTGCCAATATGGTCTTCCCATGATTCCTGTATGCCTTCATTGGTTTCCGCTGTACCTCGGTTGGTGCTTGCCCCATCGGAAGTGGACTGAAGTTTTAGTTTCTTCAGCAGCTGGGCAACGAACTGATCCCTGGGCTGAATTCCACCAAGAGAGAGAGAAAAAAAAAATGCCAACAAAACCGAAAAAACAAAAACCAGAACTCAACACCAAGACTGGCCCGTAGACGTTTTGGTTATATCAAGTTAGACAGCTGGAGCTTATGCAGTTATGGGAACTCTGTGGCATGGCGACACACGGTTGAGTTGGTAACAGGTTTTGCTAGTAGAACACCTATCCAAAGCAGTGCTGTGATACTCCCCCGATAAGTCTATGCGGTGTTGTAGTTGAGACCCATTAGGACCATCGCAATTAAATATCACAAAACCAACACAAGGCCTCCAGTCTAAATTCAAGTCACAGGCTATTGAAAGGAACTGCTACAAAAACATTCCTCTGTCACTGTTCACCATGTTACTTGAGACTGGTTTTATAGTAGACATTTCCACATCAAATACCTGGACCCTTTGATCTTTCATAAATGTCTCTAAACAAAGGAATTCCATGTAGGGACTGTGGATGGACAGAGTATTGGTTGGATTTGGAAATACTTTTGTCAGCAGTACAGTGTACATCGTGTCAAAAGCAGTACTACAAAACTATGTCAATGCATTCCATCCATACACATGCAGATCTCATGTATATTACACAACCACTGCCTGCTTTGAGTGGGGTAGTAAAACTAGCCTCTCCAGGTGATCCGCAGACCATTTGTTCATTCCTGAGGTGAAGCCACGGGAAAAAATGTTCCATGCTGTGTGACTAGCTCTTGGCCAATCAACATACAGAATCTGTGGGTAAAGTCTTTTAATCAATCTGAGTGGCCTTTACCTTGTTTTCTTCTGTCTTGATTTCTTCCTTGGCTTTGCTCTCTGCATCTCTCCACTCGAGCCACAAGTCCCTGTAAGGGGGTGGCAACAGCTGATGTATGGACTGAATACCGTAGGGAGTAAAAAAAAACAGGGGAAAAATATTCTGAAGATTGCTCAAAGATAACTGGTTTAATATTCAACAGAAATAATGAAGTGCGTGGGTTGGGTGTTGGGTGAATTTCTTGGCCTAGTTCCGTCTTACAATCTCACCGTGGTTTTAGCGAGGTTCCATAGTGCTAGCACGCTGGCAACATGCTGGGCCTCCATTGCATTCTCTGTTAGGATATCTGGCTTAACGACCAATGGTGGCTCCTTCTTACGGTCAATGGTCAACCTAGCCGATACATGAAAAAAAATTGTTTTGCAGAATTTCAGGATGAAAGAGAACTAACAGCACTCTGTCTCATCATATCTACATTTCTGATGAAAAATTAAAGTGCAGAATATCTTTTTTGTTAAGAACAGGTTCATGCAAAATTTGGGAAAGACAGAATAGTTTGTGTATCTGTGGCAACCTATATCCTGTTTTCACTGTTTGACTACGTCTGAATTGTATACCTTGTGGCTACGGCTTTGTTTTTTGCCATTACAACGCCACACTGAAGAATTATAGCCACAGACAACAATACCCACTTTAGACACAGCCAGTCTGCTTCAAAGCATCACTTTATCGAGGGATTTTAATGTCCCAAAGTTTAAAATGGGAAAAAGTAAAACTGGATTCACAACATTTTTCACAGTTAAATGTATGGTGATTATTCATCATATAGTGCATTTCACTGTTTCTGTCAAACCGCAATGAAGTCTTACTTGCATTTCCACTTGCCTCTGACCTCAGTTTTGTGGTACTTGGGAGCAGCGGTATTGGGCAGGTTTTTCCGGCACCAGTCTATTAGGAACTGTTTGGGTGACTTGCCAGTCCAGTTCTTCTGGCTGTAGGCAAAGCCGCGGATGTCTTCCTGCTTGTCAGCTGTAATTCTAGAAGCTGTAGGTGTGAATAGAAAAAAAAGGTCGTTTCTTAACCTCTGTCTACTTCAGTGTGAACTGTTGGGGAGTGCACTTAGACCGTGGAGGGGCCATCGGTGACCACTGGTTTATGTGTTGTGCTTCTGGATGCAGAAGATCAACACAGAGAAGTGTGAATGGATGTTGTGACAGAGGATAATTTCAAACACTCCCAAAGTGACTGTTTCAACTTTAGAAACATTGATTCTCCATTTCAAAATGTTCAGTTTTTCCCATTTTAGAGAATGCTTAAAAGAGCACTGCATTCTTTACCTGTGCATGATGACCAAGTGCTAAAGGCACTCAACTTTTAAGTGACATAGAAAGGTTTATGTGGAAAAAACAAGAAGACATTTCCAAGGTATTACGGCAGACAAGTTCTCAAAAGTCTGACTTACGACAGTATATGTAGAGGAATGGAAACTTTTTTACATGATGGAACTCATCAAAGACCGACTTGAAAAAGAGCAAAGGCTGGTCAGCAACTTATAAGAAACCCCCAAATGGTATATACCATTTAATACAACTAAACTTAAATCTTTAGTAGCTAAAAAATATCCCCGCATCACCTGTTTTGGAAGACGACACTGCTCCAGGTTCTTCTGAAAAGAGATTGAACATCCCAGCATCTTCTTCCTCTTCCTCCTTCTTCTCTGTTCTTTTTTGCTTCTTCCTCTTCTTCTCAGATGATGATGGTGTCGCCTCCTCTGTGCCAATGTCTTGCCTTCCATCCCCTTGAAGTTCTACATGTAGTTTAGCCCTAGGGTCAAAGTCTGGATGGCTCTCAACTTTTGTGATCTCTAAAGAACAAAAAATGTCCCACGTGGCATGAAGACATTTAAGCAAACACAGGAGTGGGGTGGGGTTTTCTTCCATCCCCAAAGAATATTTGGAGTGCAACTGTTTTCAGCTGGGGTATGCCATAGAGGGACAGTCTTTGCAATGATTTATCCTCAGGGAGCATCTCAGATCCTACTTTTCCCGTCAAAAGGACTTCTTTAAAAACAAAAAAATGTTCCCTTCCCAACTTGCCTGTTCTTGATTTAGCATGTGCACTTATAGGTTAGTTCTTCCACATTGAAACCTGGAGTTTCCAGTGGGAAAGGTACACATTCTGAATCAAGATGGTCAGTATTCCCTGTGGAATGTTCAAAGCATTCTGAGAATTGTGATGTTCTCTGGACACAGATGTCACTAGGAAGCAACAAAGAATTTTGAAATCCAAGGCCCAACGAGGCTTTCTGTAGTGGTGTTTCCATATTTACTGGAAACTTTGGGGCAAGAAATAGGAATCAGCTGACCTGACGCATGCCTCTTAATGGAAGAGTCACTATTGAAGACCATGTTTCTCCAGGTGAAATTGCCTTAAACAGGTCTAAAGAAAGGGAAGTGATATGTGATTCTAGTCTGCAAGTTTTGCATGAGTTTGAAGAATGAGGTATGACTTAGAAACAAGTTCTGAGCCCAATGTGAGACAAGGGAGTAAGTATGGATGGTTCCCCTTTTTGGTCAAAACCTTTGTTAAAAACCAAAAAACAAATCTAAAGGAAATATAGCAATGACAAACTTAAGTGGCTGACAGGACTAACCAGGCAGTCACGATGATCCTACCTCAAACACAGACAGGCATTCAGGTAATTGGACCAGAACGTGATGGTTAACACTGGGCCACTAGTGAACACTTACCTTTGGCAAGTCTGGCGATCTCCTTACCGGCCTGCGTCTGTGCGCTCTTATCCCCTTCCTGTTTGGCTTGGCTGGCTGCTGCCTTGGCGTCCAAGAGTTGAGCTGCCAGCACCAAGTATTGCTCTGTCTGAAATCAGTCAAATGAAAGTAGCCACAACAAATAAATGCAGAAAGACAGGAATTTGGAAGGAGAGAACTTGGAAAGAATATGCACAGGCAGATTTTTGAGAGGGTCAAAGTGAATTTTTAATTATAAAATTCGGTTTCATTAACCAATCTTAATTTCAATTTGAAATTTCAGTTCACGAAGGAAGTTAGGACTTTGCTGTTAATATTTTATTACTCAAAATCATCCTTAGAGAAATTATAAAACATTCAAATATTCTATACGGTGGAAATTTAATAAAAAAAGATTTGTCAAACAAAAACCTCATTGGGAAACTATGTGGCCTACATAAACAAAAGAACTGACTGAAAAGGGTTTGAACTTGCGACCTCTGGGACGGGGACGCCATACCTGTGCTCCACCAACTGATTACCAAACCCTACATTGGTGGATCTTTAATATATCTGGTCGGGGGAGGGGGGTGCTAGTCATAAGTAAAAAAAAACCAAAAACACCCTGTATAGTGGATCACATTCCAAAGACACTACACAAGCAATGTTAGCGATGCTTGAGGGGATACTGCTTTTTCAAACACAAATCATCAAACAAAACTACCTTGGAAACTGGGTTGGTACTTGCATTAATTATAAAGATGAGTAACGAAATTGACTGGAGAAGGATTTTAACCTGCGACTTGGTTTCTGACCAGCGTCTCTGAACAAAACTATTGACAAATGAGATGAAAACCAAACACAGAGCTGGGTAGCTCAGTTGGTAGGGCACCGGTGTGATGGTTTGGGGATCGCAGATTCAAACAATTTCATTATTCATCTTAATAAAAACAAGACCGAGTGCACAAATAAACTCACAGGATCAACATCCTCTTGTTGCATGGAATCTGGCCCCTCCTCTTCTTCTTCATCGCTGTATGCTTCAGCATACTGCAAAATCCAGTTCTTCACATCAGCCTTTTGGCTTCCTGACTTTTCCTTTGTAAATTCAGAATACAAAAAATCAGTAAGTGAAAGGGTTTTAAGGAGGTAAAGGGGTTTAAGTATTAGTTCAACTGCCAGATCTTTTTGTGAGAGTTTTTAAATCTAGAAAACATTTCTGCAGGTTTGGTTTGATGGCCTGGGAAAAAAGTGTAATTCTGTAATGCTGGAATCAATTGTAAAATTAACACATTAGTGGTCATTCAGAAAATGACCTGCTGGTTGGTTGCTGATGATCCACTTAGACTGCTTGTAAAAGTTTTGGGTTGGGCAAAGAATAACAAACGCAGCCACTTCCTATACATGTGCGTTACTGCCAGGGCATTAAGCTGCAGAGACTGTGTTTGGACAATGAAGTACCGTCTCTTTAGTGGAGTCTAGTTCCTTCTTCCTTGGCCCAGAGTCATCTGTCCTCTGCTCCTCCATGAACGGTGTCCTGGCTTTCTCCTTGTTCTCCTGTCGGCCCTCCTCCAGGAATGTGCCGGCAAACCCAGTGGGCAGCTCGTCTGAAATCAGACACTGCTAACATTAGCGAAGTCCTGGTCCATGAACCACTGAAAGTAGTGCATTTGTGAAATCAATAAACCATAGCATCTGCTGGGGCTCCATGTGTAATGCCGCAGACAAAGCTGGGCCTGTGATTACAACAGGATAATTTGAGGAGATGACTTTACCATAGGGGCATCAAAGTCATATACACACTCTTAAACATGAGGTACGCTCAGTCCATCACACAGTTTTACTACCATCCAATAACGAGTACTAACCTATATTAACTAGGAGTCAATTTGAATGGGGGAGAAGGCATTGAACATTCAGATTGTTAGGAACACTACTTTGACCTTATGACAAGCTATGGTGCCAAGGACCTACACTCTGGAGGGCTGACTTTTGCAGGCCATTTTATTACAGTTCACTCAAAAGAACAATTTGCAGAGATATGTAATACAAAACTGCTGCTAACTGCTTACTGACTACAATGACATAAAATACAAATCTCAAAATATGGAGGGCCTGACGTTTCAATCCTAGCAGAATCTTGCTCAAAGGCAAAGAACAATTTGACAGACTTTTGATCCAAAATATTGCTTATTTTCTTAGTAATCATAAACATTTGACAAAATCCATCCCCTTTGTTTAATTTTACAAAGTGACTGAAAGTCACCTCATCAGCAGAGCCAGAGAGATCACGTACGTAATTGTATCTGAGTCAGGATGCAAGCATATTTGTATGCGTGTGCAGGTGATAATGATAAAGATTGCTTGCGCAAGTGACAATAATATGAAAATTCAACACGTTCTTCAGTTCTCATGAAGTGACAAAACTCTGTTATAGGAAGAAATAGAGGCCTCCATGTGCTGTATGTATGAAGTGGAAAGTTTTTTAACAAATTACTGTTTAACTGAGGAAAATTTCAGCATGGAGTATGAATTAGCAAAGAACAAAGCAGGCACGGCATGACAAAGCAAACAGTTTCCAACAACAAATTACGCAAAAATGTGTTTTTAAAAAACCAACTACTTTCCATTGCAATTATCTTGGAATGTCCTTCTTGCTACTTGAATAGTTGTTTGTCACTTCATGGAAACAGCAATGAACTAATCACAGGGCTTACTATCTGGAAGGTTGAGGCATAGCCAGTCCAGTGCTGAGTGGAGGTCGCCGCCCTGAACGAGATTGTTACTCATCGCTGCCGTGATCTGTTCATGCTGGAATCCCACATCAGCCAAAGCCATGTACAGGTCCTGCCGGGTAGGAAATCACGAAACTGCTCTTTGATAAATCCCAACGAAAAAGATTCAAGTCTTGGTAACCCCAGGAAAAGTGAATATTCCATGAGGGGCAACCTTTTTTCAATAAATACATGTAAATGCAATTTCGGAGAATAAACCAGGGTAGCAATTTTAAGCTCAATCAATTAAGGACCTAAGATGTGACATACAGTATGTTACAAGTATTACAATAAAAATGTTGACTGCTTTCATAGATGGAAGAGGAACACCAACTTCATAATAGTAGGAGCTGTCCGTTTCTATTTTCTGCTTGAAACCCTGCTCGCTCCTGGTATTTTGGTAGAAGCACTGCTATTGCACACAAAAGATACGCTGCTTTGTAACCCAAGATCCAAAAGGACTGCTGTCCTTAGGCAAAAAAGCCTGGGACTGCCAGTCTCCGCAAGATCTGACAATGACATTCTTCAGGACTGACTCTCATTGTCTCAGTTCAATGTTGTTACAGTCGAGTCCTTTCAAAAGTCCCTTAACAAGTCTTGTCCCTTCAGAGGACCAGTCATAAGTAATGGGGTGAATGGAATCGACTACAACTCAATTTAGAATCTGCACTTGTGCTCTCTTGCCAGTGTCCATCACAGCAATACCCTGACATCCCCATGGACACCTGTTGTAACTGTTAAATTCAGTTCGGTTAGGAACTCAAGGTAAATGGAAAGTCAGCATAGCTTACAGTGAGCTTCTTAGCGGACATCTTCCTGGAGACAGTTCCGAGACTGTTAGACAAACTCTTCTGTCTCAGGATCTCCTCCACAATGGCCTTTTCCAATGCTGCTGGTAGCGAAACCCTGGCTACTGTCTTATCTTCTACTATATTGGCATCGACTCCCCCATCAGGTGTTTGGAACCGGTATTTCTTTTGGACAGCTTGTTGAGACAAGAAAGGGAAATACAGCATTAAGTGAGAACATAAGCATCCTCTACTACTGTAAACAAACAGGTTTTCTATCTGCCTCCATGTACAAAAATTGTATTATCACAACATTTTAAAGTGTGTGGAGAAATCCACAGCACTCCCGCCAATACATACACAGGACAGTCGCGAAACGAAAAAGAGATTCTATTACCCCACTTCCAGAACGGTCAAGCTAATATAAAATGGTCAGCCATCAACGTAACGCATGTGCAATGTATCATGCACTCATGTTTGGCAATGTGTTTGTGTCATTTTAGAATTTTTTTTCAAGAAATAGTCAGTTGCACAGTCAAAACCATAGGCCTAGACTATCATGTTTAATTAAAGAGATATGGATCAGTGTTGATGGCCTTTTTTGGGAAAAAAGCGATAGAGAAATTGGCATTTATTAAAAACGTAATTGCACCCTGGAAAAAAGTTCCCTAGTATAAGACCACTTAAAAAAATAGTTTAGCATCAGTTGTGTTTACAAAAAATGAGGAGGGCGGATTTTTTTTTTTGAAATACTTTGGTATGCATGCTGATCTGGACTGCCGCAACCATGGAATGAAAGTGCCATGTACACTTCATACTGTGTGTATGTGTTACGCCCCAACTATAGCATCAGTCCCAACTATAGTTGGGCCCGTCCCAACTATAGTTGGGCCCGTCCCAACTATAGTTGGGCCCGTCCCAACTAAAGTGCTACAGTTGGGCCGGCCCAACTACAGCAGAGAGGTCTTGTGTGCACGATGTGCCCAGCATGTGCCAAAGTCATATTGTTTACAAATGTCATATCATTGATCATAGGGCTAGATGAACAGATGAAGTGCCACATTTTATATGAATTGTGTCAAGTGTGAGACACATTGACTTGGATAATGTTGAGACATTTTCCACAGACATTGGTCAACAATAGTTGGGCCAGCCCAACTGCAACACTATAGTTGGGACTGTCCCAACTATAGTTGGGACTTATGCTTTATTTGGGGCGTAACATATGTACTCGGGTCGCATGTTGTGCGTGCACGAGGTTGTGCAGGCGTTGTAGAAACTACAGGGGACGGCTAAGGACATCGGAAACCACAATTTAAAAATAAACACCACGCAGCAAGATTTTTTGAGGCGGGTGCTGATGCTAAACTAATTATTTTTTTCATGTGGCCTAAGAACATTACTCAATGCCCCAAAAGTGCACAAACCCATTTCATGGCATTTGGCCGAAAGTGTCTTCTGAGTTCTAACCTCTAGGTAATGCTTAAGAATTTTTTAGGTAAATTTCACTTTTGGGGACATGCTATCGCTTTCTAAAATTAGTGTTGTCCGTATATGGAAGTCTTTCCACACCTCGATTTGACATAAACGGGCTGCATTCCAAAACTCATGATAGCGTTATGAATCAGTCAGCAGACCTGTAATGCCTGTTCGCCCGTCAGCCATGTCAATCCCTCCTTCCACATTCTTCTTCACTGGAGTACTTTCACATGCTATTGGTCTGGGTGCTTTGTTCTTCTTCTTTCCCATGATTAAGGTACAAATAATACAGAACAAAAAGTAAAGGTTTGTATGACATGAGTGTCACAAACAAAATTCAGCCTGATGTTCATCTGTTCATGTCAAGTTGTTTCGGAGCTCATGGACGCTGCCATCTTGTTTCGAGTTGAGGATTATGGGAACCGTTGGCTTACTACATTTATGAAGAGGTTACACAATGGCCCCGCGAGGAGGAACAGTCTACAAAGCTAGCTCATAATATCAAAGGTAACTCACACAAACACGTGCTTTAATAACAGTAGAAATAATTAAAGTCATTTAAAATGACGTAATTTAAATCATATGGTTAAAAATTTACATTTGAGGGTCAA